TACTACAACAATTATAGCTTGACGCAGCCAAGATTCTTCTGCAAAGGTTGTAGAAGGTATTGGACGGAAGGTGGTTCGCTTAGGAACATCCCTGTTGGTGGTGGCTCGAGAAAGAACAAGAGATCTCACTCTTCTTCAGCTTCTTCTTCTCCTTCTTCTGATATTAATAAAAACCACTCCGATCCTACACAACCAGCTACAAAAAAGCAGCACTCTGATCACCACCACCTCATGAGCATGTCTCAACAAGGGTTGACTGGTCAAAGCCCTAAATTCTTTGAGACAACTCAACAAGATCTCAATTTAGGTTTTCCACCACATGGGTTGATCAGGACCAATTTCACTGACCTCATTCACAACATTGGGAACAACAACAAGAGCACTAACAATCCATTGCTCAGTTCTTCATGTTCTGCCACGTCAGCTATAGCAGCTTCCTCTCTGGATTTCATAAGAAACAATAATAGTAATAATGGGAGTTCTTCATTCATGGGGTTTCCAGTTCATAACCAAGATCCAACATCTGGAGGGTTTTCAATGCAAGACCATTACAAACCTTGCAACTCAAACACCACACTGCTAGGGTTTTCCTTGGATCATCATCATAATAATGGATTCCACGGAGGATTTCAAGAAAGAGAAGGAGGAGGAGAAGGTGGTGATGATGTGAATGGAAGGCACTTGTTTCCTTTTGAGGATTTGAAACTGCCAGTTTCTTCTTCATCAGCAACAATTAATGTCGACATTAATGATAATCAGAAGCGAGCCAGTGGTGGTGATGCATCGGCTACTTCTGGTGGGTATTGGAGTGGGATGTTGAGTGGAGGACCATGGTGCTAGTTTTTCTCAGTTTGATGATGAAGATAGTACTATATCATTAATGGTTAATCATCGTTATTTATTTAATTAATCAATATGTTCTTAATGTCAGTTTAAATGTTATTATTGGTGGTTTTTATTAATTTTGGAATTAGTTTGGATTTGAGGATATTATTGAGGGTGCATGCATATCGAATGACTTTAATTTGTTTTCAGTTTTTGTTATGGATCGTTAACACAGGTTATAAATGATACATTTGTTAGTCTTTTTGATGTTCCGTCTCTTATTGATTGTATTTTTCATGTCTTTGTCCACTAATAAATTCCAGACGTTATAACAAATGAATGCATTTTTTTTTTTGCATATATAGTGTAACCAATTTTCTGCAGCAGCATTGTATGTTACTATTGTTTGGGTCGCACAAGGAATGGATGTTACTAATTATGTAAATTAAAGAACAGGTATATTAAATCAAAAATTAAATTAATTAAGAGAGACAGATAAGCTCTGATGACTTTCACATGATCCTCACTATTTATTGCCAAGGACTGGTTATTTAAAGCCTTACCATCCCAATTAATTATTAAAACCATATTCCATCTAAATTTAATTATTAAGCTCGTTCCTGATCACAAATTGATCGTTTATAATAATTAGACAAGCTACCTGATTAGCTTGATGCATTTTGATTATGTTTATGCCATTAATGAGTTTAGAAAATGTTGATTTCATGGACTTGTTCTTTATTGCTTTGGTTAGGAAAACAATTTCAAATGAAATCAAGTATGTTTTGGTTAGACAGAGGAGACAATTATTTTTATTTTAATAGTATTTGAAAATGAAGAGAGGGAAGAATAATGTGAGTGAAAAAAAGGAATAATGTGAGTGACAAGTCTAATGACTAAAGAAGGTGAGGCCCACAGAAACATTCTCCTCGAAATCTGTGTGTTTAACATTATTCATCCCACTATGGTTTCAGGCTTTCAGCTTCGTCAATCGAGATCTTGACGCTTGCTCGTTGATTTGTTGTTTTTTCCTTCTACACAACTGCTTACACTAATAAGGGTGTGATTGGTTTTTGGTGGAGTAATATGGTGAAAATAAAATGGTAAAAAATGGTGGAAAAAAAAATGTCACATCAAGAGTAAAACATTTTCTTTCACTAATATAGAGCGTAACATATTAGTATACTTTCTCACTTTTTTAGCGTTAATGGATGGAAAATATTTCTACATGATTGGTAATAAAATAGAGTAAGTTAGCGTTAATTTTTATTACTCTATTTTTGTTACGCTACGAGTGCTATACAGTCAGACTCTAATTCGAAAATTAAATTTAACAAGGAAAATTGAAAAATGTTTTTAATTCAGCTATCTGTTTTTCATGCTACCTAGGATGTTTTTTAGTCTTCATATGTAATTCTTACTCCTTATGTTTCATTTTAATAGGTGTTTAAGATTTTTACACAAAGATTAAACAATAGAAATTTTATATTGTTTATCTTAGTTATATAAAATTTTATTAAATAAAATTAATCCAACCAATAAAAATACAATATTTTTAATTGGTTATAAATTTTAAATGACATTAAACTATATATAGAATAGAAAGAAGAACATCACTTCATTTACAATAAAAATAAAAATGTTGGTTGCCTTGTCTTTCTGGTCTTTCAACAACTATGAGAATCGGTGCTGAGATGTCATTGAGACTTAATAGTTTGGTTTTACTCAAATTTAAGGTTATGAAGATTAGTAATCTTAACAATTTAATTCTTAATGTGAGATTGTATTAAGCCAAAAGAAGAAACGAAATGTTTCACATACACTCGTCGAACCAAAACATGTTTATTTCACATTTTTAAATGTTGTAGCTTTGATAATCACTTGAAGGTTCCACGATTGATGTTGATGTTTGAAACAATATCATTAGTTTCACATTTTAAATAAGATATACCACTGTAACACTTGAAAGTTTCAAGACTGATGCTTCTGAGGTTCACTGCATCTAAATTATTACTCTTACATAGTAGAGTAGAAATTTCAGAACTCAGGACTCTAACACGAAACGGGATGCCTATTTTGTATTCAGACAAAGCAGGACCGCTTTTATTTATAGAAACAAACAGAACTCAGGACTCTAATATCACGTTTCTTTGAAAAAGAGAAAAAAAAAACTCAAATTGAATGCTTTTCGGTGTATTAAATTGGGTTATTGAAAGTATTTTAAATAATGATAAAAGCAAAAAAATGACGTAGGTGATGAATTTTAAATAACCCTTCCAAACTCGAATTTCGTATACATTTATATATTTTTTATGAAATGGTGTAGGACTATTTTATATTTGACATATTGCTGCCAAGTCTTCAGTTGTTCCTCCCCTTTATTAATCAGTACTCTGCTCTTCTTGTTTTTACCCACTTCATTACTTTTGGATACTTTTCTTTATAACATGATTTATATGAAACTTCATATGAAGCTCTTATATAGTGTTTTAGTAACAAAAATATTAACCATTCAAATTGTTTTGATGATCATAAAAATGTCAGATTTTAATTATTTGAGAAATACGAAAAGTGTTCTTTAAAAGTGTTATTAGGTGTTTTAATTCTTTTTTTATTTATTTTAAAAGTGTTGTACACAGAAATTGTTCACGTCCATAGACATATATCTCCATAAACATAAACCTTGTAGTGACCAGTTTTCACATAGATTAACGAGGTCGTTCAAAAATTAAGTTTGTATTAAAGAAGTTGTTATATCAAAAATGAGATGTCTATCTATTAGTGTTAAATGTTCTTCAAATATATCATATATATGATCATTTGGATCTTTTATCTTATAAATTTTGTTCAATATTGTTCAATTTTTGCTCAAAATTTGCTTAATATATACATTATATTTATATATATTGACCAGACTCAGAAATGATGTTGGATCTGAGGCGGTCAACTGCATTCTCATGGGATTCTATAAAATAAAAAAATACAGTTCACTATCAAACTTTTCAAGTGTAGTCTCTTATTTGAAATTATTTTGCTTATCTTGGATTATAGTTACCAATCTATCTGCGAGATATTGGTTGATTGAAAATCGACTTTTGTTACAAATAATATCCTTATAATAAAATTGTTAAATTCATAAATGTTTTTCTTACTATAAAGACGGGTGAAAATAATTGCATATATAGAAAATCTATTTTTAACGCAATGAGAAAATGAGAAACGTTAACTACTTAACCTAACAAACTTCAAGAAAAAATCTAACAAACTCATTGTCCTTCTTCATCCCACTCTTTATTTCATCTTAGTCTACAATTCAACTTCAAAGTTTGTTTACTTCTCAGCCTATAATGTCATTTTTGTCATCTTTGATACAAAACCGAAGATCTCTCAAGTCTTGTCTGAGAGGGAGAAAATGTCTACAACCTGTTTCTCCACTACCCTCCAAGTTCAGATATGATGAGGCTTACTTGGCGAACTACATAGACAATCTACTTGTCATGTGTCAGGATTGATCTCTTCCATGTGGGTACCACATTGTTCTCAGATTGGTTGATGTCACCTTGTTCAAGAAGGCTGTCGTTGATGACGTTAAGGCCAATAAGAAGGCATTGGTTAAGGCCAAAGGGGTTTAGGCATGAAACATGAGATTGGAGTTCTAAACTTGATTTGGGATATTGATTTAATACCAATGGTATTAACCATGCTGGATATCATGTTTCGCTTATTAAGTTTGTTTTTTAACAACTTTCATCTAAAAATGATTAGGATAAAAATTTAATTCGATAGTATGTTTATTCTAAAGTAAACTAACTTTTAGAAGTTGAATGCACATGCAAGTTTTAAACAGTAGAATGCATGTGGTTCGGACACTCCAGTTGCTGACTAGATAAAAAATAATTTGATCATCCCCAAACTTCGTTTACAACACTAAAAATCTTTAAATAGAGTAATCATATCTGTAAAATATTGGTAGATCAAAAATCCACTTTGGTTAGAAATAATCTTTTTGTTAAGGAAATTATATATACAAATAAAAAAATCTTTCTTCCTATAAACACTTTGCAAACTAATTGCATTGATCCAAAATATCTATTTTATGCCAATTTTTTGTAAAAAAATCTGTATAATTGATCTTCTAATTATGTAAGAGAGAAATAATTTTCCCTAAAAGTCACGTGGACAAATATATAATCAAGAAGAAACTGATTCGTGAAAGACTTTTGACTCTCTCTTTCTCTCTCTCAGTGGCAATGTCTTCAGCAGCAAACTCTTCCACTCAAATTCAAAGATCTCTCAAGTACCGTCTCCGAAAGGGAGAAAATCTTTACGGCTTGTTTCTCCTCCCACTCTCGCCGGAGATCGCCGAGATTGCTGCGTTCTCAGGATATGACTTCATCATCATAGATCTGGAGCATGGAGCAGGCGGAATTCGCGAGGCACTCAACTGCATCCGCGCCATTGAAGCCGCAGGTTGCTCAGCTGTTATTCGTGTCCCTGACATTAGTCAGGCTTGGGCCAAAAAGGCATTGGATCTCGGAGCCGGCGGGATCATGTTTCCGATGGTGGAGAATGGACGATCTGCTTCTAACGCAGTGTCTTTTTGCCGGTACCGTCCTGATGGCGTCCTGATGGTGTTCGGGGAGCGTGTACACCGTCGTGAGGGACTCCAAGTTCGGGTTTGATGAGGCTTATCTGGAGAATTACATTGACAATCTACTTGTCATGTGTCAGGTTTGATCTCTTCTGCTTTCAGTTTTTGGTTAATTAGAGGTTTTGGATCAATGAGGAAGACGAACATATGATATTCATGTGACAATGTCGTGTTTTTAACTTGTCAAGAGAAATTAGATTACAAAAAAGTTGGAAGTAAAGCAATGAATATTTGTTTGTCCTAAGGTGAAGTCAGCGATGAGGACGGCGGAGACAGCGGTGCTGGCTTCTGATCAGGTGAACGGAGGATCTTATTTGGCAGGGATGGCTACGGCTCAGGACACCGCCTTGGATCTCTGGTCACGTGGGTACCAAATTGTTCTCGGTTCAGCTGACGTCTCCTTGTTCAAGAAGGCTGCCGTTGATGACGTCAAGGCCAATAAGAAGGCTGTGGTTAATGTCAAAGGGGTTTAGGGATGAAACATTATATAAGAGTTCTAGACTTGATTTGGGATATTTGTTTGTTTTCATCGGTATTACTATGAACCATTTTCATTGGTGTTGCTATGAACCATGCTTTGATGTTGTTTAATCGCTTATCTAGTTTGCTTTCTAAAGACTTTCATCTATAAAATGACTAGAGAAAAAGTAATTCGGTAGTATGTTACTCTGTTTCTTCTGAGGTAAACTAAACAAGAAGTCGAATACACAGGTTTGAAACACGGAAGTGCATGTCGTTCGAACACTTAAGGACCTAACGGCTTGTCGTTTTATAAAACGCCTTGCCGTTTTATTTTCAGAGGCTAATTTTCATATCGAATGAAAACCAGATAGAGGAGAACTCAAAAGATTCTTCTTTTTTTTTTTCTTTCAAAAATGCAAACTTTATCTCCACAATCGCTTCGATGGAAGTCGAATCCATTGATTGTATCGGAATGCTATGTTTTGAATCCCAAAGCACTGAACTTTCAAGTGTCTTCCCTGAGTTCTCCTTATCTCAGAACTCGAAGCTGGAGAATCAGAAGAATGAGATCGCAGAGGCGTCGTCCTCACATGTCTCCGCTAAGGAAGAAGTGACCGTGAGTCAAAAGAAAGAAGAAGATGAGCTCATGAAACTCCATAAACAAGAAGCTCTCCAAGTGCTTAAGAAAAAGGAGAACCAAAAAATACTGATCAAGGTCACTCACTGACTCTCTGTTTCCTGTTTTAACTCACTAAAATGGATTACATAACCATGATCATAATCATGTCTCTTGCAGAAGAAGAAGAATGAAATTGTTGACCCTAACAAACCCAAGAAGCCAGCCTGCTTCAACATTCTTTCTCTTCAGTACGAACCTAAAGCTAATGTGACTCAAGTGTATCATAAACTTTCAGTTTATAGAAGTTTCTAACTGTTTTAAAAATTGTTTCCACAGCAAAGATGCAAGGAAAGCTTTGAAAGATGAACCGTCTTGGGACAAGCAACTCCACAATCACTGCTCTAATCCAGTGAAACCACAACAAATTAAGCTGCAAGGAAAGCTTATAGAACGTTTTATTGTTTGTGCTATTTATAGTTGTCTAATGAATTTAATTTTTATTTGATTTCCCTGCAGGTTGATTGCCAAATACCGGTCAACAATGTCTCTTATTTCTGTGGACATTCACTGGGTTAAGAGCTTTAGTGGAGCCTTTGAGGTATGTTTCTCTCATGATCTTTGTAAGTTTAGAAACCAGAACCATGACATAGGTTGCTGATTTTCAAAGAGATCTCATACATAGCTAGTGCTATCTACTCATATCTTGCATTGGATCTTGGACACGGCACAAGAAAAAAACCGTGTGACTCGTATCAGGCTTCTTGTTTTTGTACCATAGTCATATATCAATATATGTAGTGGTTTAAGATTATTAACCCGTGTGTCTAGACAGTCACTTGGGGGCAATGTCAAAGGGTCAGACAAGTCTTTTAGGAGTTTTAGTTTGAACCTTTGAGTTCAGATTCTATAATATTTTGTGAAAAATGGTAATGTTGACATAAAGCTACAAACGAGTTAGTCCTCAAAGTTGCGTGTTAGACCACGGGAAGCACGCATGAGTGAGAAAGTCGCATGACAAAGAAGTGGTGTGTCAGAAAGTTGGTGATGCATCAGTGGTCAAGATCATCGAGCTAGAGGATTGATAAAAATGGGAGCTATAATCTTTTTGCTTCAGTCCAATGCTGGAGTGAGTATATTAAGGATGAAGGTTCATGAACAAGCTCATACATTGTTAAGGCATTATTTGTGTTCAGCTGTTGTCTCATCTTGTTCACCATATGAACTCTTATGTTTGTCAAAGAGTTTTGATTAGCGGAGATATTGCTCTTTTCTCTCTTTGTGTTGTGTTTGCTCCCTCTGGATATTCATTGTTAGTTGTGATATCATTTACATTTGTGTTTAATTGCCTATTTGATGTCTCTTACTTAATGTCGTGTTGTCCTTATTGTGAGCCAAGCTTTAACCTCTTTAGCCTCCTTATGTGCATTGCAGCCACATTTTGCGAAAGCACTTATATCAATGCATAAAGGGATTTTGCTCTGCATTGTCGCAGTGGTGACTTTGTCAAAGTTCTATGTTACAAAAGTTGGATTATGTTAAAGAGTTCCTGAAAATATTTTAAATTGTCTTGAAGGGATTAGCTGACCTCCCTGAATCTTTATCTTTACATTGCTCCAATAGCTGTCGTGTTCCCCTACAAAACAAAACAACAAATTAACAAATATATAAAATCCTTAAAATTAAGAACTAAAAATTACTAAAACTAAAAATACAAAATTAATCTCTAGTGATATTTACTAATCCCAATTTTCCCAAAAATATTATTAAAATTTTCACTTTGATAGGTAAATGGTTTGGTGAGAAAAAGGATTGAAATTTGGCATTTTTTTCAAGCGCAACTATCTGTAATAAGATACTGGTAAATTTAACTCAACTATTCAGTATGATAGCATGGTTGATGGTTACATGATAGACATAGGATTTTATCAAAAGTCTTTCCTGGACGCAAACTGTTAACTGTAAAAATGTTTATGTTGAGAGGTCTTTATCTCACCTCAAACGTTTGAGGTGGAATAGATAGTTCCACTCAACAATTCAGTAGTTACCATGGTTGATGGTTACATGATAGACTACATACTTCATTATATTTTTGGAAGAATCACATTTAATTTAAAAAAACAAGGTTTCTATCAAAAGTTAAAACAACATAAGAACGTTTAAGGTGGAGTAGTTGATGGAAACATTGCATTTTTCAAGTATTAAATTTGCGTCCACTTTATCGTTGTGACACAATTTCTAAAAATTCTCAGCGTTTGATATATTGTGATGATCTTATTGTGAAACACTTGCGTATGCGGAATGGTAACCGGGAAAAGAGAACATTTTTCATGATCTATATATATGAAGCGATACGAGTTTGCTAAAAACATATGGTGTATGTATTTTATTTCATATGTTTTATTTTATAACACAGTGTGAGATTGTGTGACTTTGATAGATGATTCCATAGTTCTTAGTTTTTTAGCTTGCTCTTTTTGCTCTGGTTACTTGTAGATCGAGGGCCCAAGAACTCCAGAGGAAATGCTTGCCTTACTCCAGGGAAGGCTAGAAGATAGTTCACGTCTTCTCGTTAACGGCTAGGGTTGAAGCAACAAGACGTAGCTTACACGGCAGCCTGAGAGAAAGAACAAGACGTAGCTTACACGACATCCCTTGAAGCCGACCAAGTATGATATTTCTCTGAGTTTACAAGAACCTCAAAAGACTAAAGATACTACTATTAGCCTTTAGAATCTAAAATGCATGTGTGTTCTGTTTCTAATGCAAGGGAGAAGCAGAGGCTTCAAAGCACAATAACTGCCAAGACGCTTTTTGATAATTCGCTTGGGTATCTTAGAAACCAAAGACAAAGAGTATAGTCTAGTATCAAACTTCCAAAGCACAGTGTACGGTCCGAATAAAAACACATGTCTATGCATAGAGGTGAACTAATTAGAAAGAAAATCAAATCTTTTGTTTCTTTTTTGGTTTACACATTGAAAATCTTTAGCTTAGGTTGGAATGATATAGATACCATATCTGAGAGATATTCCTTAGAAATAATATTTTATTTCGGAAATGATATTTTTCTTACTATAAACTATAAACACAGTTGGAAATAATTGTGTGAATCCAAAAAATCTATTTTATATAGTATTTTTAAAAATAATCGATCCAGATATCTTAAAATTATGTAAAAAGACCCAAACTATATAAGAGAAGAAACTCTAACTCTCTCTATTCATCTTCTTCTCTTCACTTTCAGACTTCTTTTTTCACTCTCTCTCTCTCTCACAGTCACGAAATGTCTCTCAAATCCCGTCTCGGAAAAGGAGAAAACCTCTACGGTTTGTTCCTCCTCTCCCTCTCCCCAGAGATCGCCGAGATCGCAGCTCTCTCCGGATACGACTTCATCATCGTCGATCTGGAGCATGGCGCAGGAGGAATTCGCGAAGCTCTCAACTGCATCCGCGCCATCGAAGCTGCTGGTTGTTCATCCGTGGTTCGTGTCCCCGACATCAGTCAGGCTTGGGCCAAAAAAGCCCTAGATCTCGGAGCCGGCGGGATCATGTTCCCGATGGTGGAGAATGGAAGATCTGCCTCCGATGCGGTGTCGTTTTGCCGGTACCGTCCTGACGGGGTTCGAGGATGTGCTTACACCGTTGTGAGAGACTCGAAATTCGGGTTTGACCAAGCTTATTTGGCTAATTACGTTGACGACCTTTTGGTCATGTGTCAGGTTCTCTTTTTCACTTTGAGTTTTTGTCTGAATTTTTTTTGGTTAATTAGAGATTAGGAATAGATTAAGTGAACACGTGATATTCATGTGACTTTTTAAAAACTTGTCGGAGAATTTAGATTAGTTCCCTAAAGGTCTAATGAATATTTTTGTTTATTCTTGAGTGTGTGTGTAGATAGAATCTGAGGAAGGTGTGAAGAATGTAGACGAGATCGTAGCCGTTGATGGGATGGATTGTGTGATGATGGGTCCACGTGATCTGAGCGCGAGTTTGGGCCTTCTTCACGACCCGAGTAACCCGAAGGTGAAGTCAGCGATGAGGACGGCGGAGACAGCGGTGCTGGCTTCTGATCCGGTGAACGGAGGAGCTTATTTGGCAGGGATGGCTTCGGCTCATGATACCTCTAAGGATCTCTGGTCACGTGGCTATCACATCGTTCTTGGCTCAGCTGACGTGTCGTTGTTCAAGAAGGCGGCCGTTGATGATGTCAAGGCGAACAAGAAGGCGGCGGTGGTTGGCGTCGAAGGAGTTTAGGGTTTAGGCTTCGATATGAAACCGGAGATTAGAGGAGTAATTCAAGACTTATGCTATTATCATCTTTCTTCAGTGAACTATGTTTGGATTGGATGTTGTTTATTTTATTAGAATGCATGTCGTTTGGATAATTCATGACTTAAAGTATTGTCGTTTACTTAAAAAAAAAAAAGTATTGTCGTTTGTTTTAAAACATCGTGACGTTTTCTTCACATCCCGTCTTTAGTGGCCAGTATCAACCAAAGAGAGAGAGAGAGTCTGAGAGAGAACTCAAAGGTTCTTCCTTTCTTCAAAAAAAATGCAAACTTTATCTCCACAATCGCTTCAATGGAAATCAAATCCACTGATTGTATCGGAAAGCTATGTTTTGAATCCCAAAGCACTCAACTTTCAAGTGTCTTCCCTGAGTTCTCCTTATCGCAGAACTCGAAGCTGGAGAATCAGAAGTTCACCAGCAGACTCGAGTGACGGCGGAGATTTGAAGAAGTCTCTGTCCGGTATTGTTGGTAACCAAGTGGAGGAGCTGTTGAGCAGGGAAGAGAACAAGACTCTGCTTGATGGTCTGGAGAAAGCTTCGATGAGAGTGGAGGTTGCGAAGAGAGAGCTCGCTGAGATTGAGAGGCAAGAGATGGAGGCGAAGTTGTTGCAGGATTATGTTGATAAGCTCGAATCAAGAGCCTCAGAGGTGAGTGATCTTTTGTCTGGAAACCGTTTTAGATATGAGATGCTGAAAAAATTGATTCTTTTGCGCTTTGGACTCTCTTAGATTTTTCACAAGCTTTGTTGACTGTTTAGTATGGATTAGGGTTACGTTGAGGATGACTGATTTATATTTGTTCAGTCTGTTAACTATCAAATGCACACGAATTCACTATGTTTTGATGAGTTCACTAATCACTAAGAACATGAGTTTGGTCTACTGGTTGTTGACCAAAGTCTTTTAGTTTGTTTTTTGTGGACAGTGTAGGTTCATGTTTTTATAAAAATCAAATCCCGTAAAATGAGACTATGTTTTGTTACTTTGTAACAAGAGAGACATAAGCATGTTCATCTTATGCATATCTGATTCTTGTGCACTGTGTGCTGAGGATAGGTTCAAGTTGTTTCACAGTTTCAGTTACTATCTATGGCTTTTGTGTGAAGATAGATCATTAGATAAGTTCATTAAGAACATGAGTTTGGTAGCATTTTGAGTTTCTTTTTCCCTACTAGTTGTGACTTAAAGTCTTTAGTTTGTTTATGTAGACACTGTAAGTTCACGTTTTTTCTTGAAATGAAACTGTGTTTGTTAGTTTATAGCAAGAAAGAGACAAAAGATGTTCATCTTATGCAATATCTGATTCAAGATCGCAGAATGCCAGCAGGAGATTATCGCAGCAAGGACAATGGTTGAGGAAGCAGAACGCTCATTATCCTTAGCAGAGACCGCAGCAACAGGAAGTTCAGAAAACGGTTATTCCATTGATAAAGACAAGGAGAGATTAGAATCAGCCAAAGCAGCAGTGATTGCAGCTGCGGTTGGAACCGTTGCAGAAGTCCCGTTTGCTCTCTCTCAAGTCTCGAGCATTGAGCAGCTCATTCTCCCCCTAGGAGTAGCGTTTGCAAGCTGTGCATTGTTTGGAGTCACGTTCAGGTATGTAATCAGAAGAGACTTGGATGATAGTCATCTCAAATCTGGAGCCGTTGCAGCCTTTGGATTTGTCAAAGGTAACAACACATTTTGATTACTGCTTCAATCTTAACGTCTTTTGAATTGGTAGAAAAACGTTTGCGTTTTCGATTGAATTGTTATATTGTGTTGGAAGTGTGAGCTGGATGATTCCCATCATTACTCCTGACTTTTGTTGTTTAAAATAAATAATCTTCTAGTAATAGAATACTAATCAATGATTTGATTTTTATTGTAAAATGATTTCCTTATTTAAATAAATTGATTGAGTTGATTATTAAATCTCTGACCTGTATTATTTTGGATCTGTCTATATTCTTAACAAAAATCATAAACCTGTTTTATATGGGTGTAATAGGACTTGGTATGTTAAGCAGTGGACCGCCACTGGAGCTGAGCTGGGAAAGCTTGGTTTCTCATGGTATAGACGGCGCCGTTTTGGTGTCCCAGAGCGCGTTGATATTTGCGTTTGCGTCTATAAGTTTGGACTTCTGCTTTAAATTGAAGCTCTTAAAACCATTTCCAAGCTCTGCTCAGATGTAGATGCATCCGTTAAAAAGTCGAAACGTAGAAAAAAATAAACTATTGTATATTTTTTTCTTTAGACTTTGGTTTAAATGAAAAATTCCTATCTTTGATCACATTTACTTCATTTAAATAAATATACAGTTAAAAACAGGTTTCCACTATATATATATCAGCATATCATGTTTAGATTTACATCTGAATAACAAATCTGGTAATAAAGAGACAAAATCAAAAGTGAATCAGATTTTTACAAAAACTGTTTACTTTTGATCTTAAAAAAAAGGGAGTTCACGAATATATATTGATATACTTTTATCTATATTTTCAACGAAACCACCAAAAGTCACTCGTGAACTTGAAGAGGTGTAGATGGGACCGAAACCATTACCAGCCATTCGTTATTAAAAAACACACGTGTCATAATCTGAAACACCTAACAACACTTCAGCAAAACAACAGCTCTTCTCTTCTGTCTCTCTCAATCGCGTTTGTCGTGGCGGTCAACTGATCAGAAATATAGGGAAGGAAGCAGGAGCCAAGTTTATTAAAAAAAAAAAATAGCTGAATTAAATTATAAAAATTTTATAAAAAAAAGAAAATCAATCAGCATCTCAAACTTCAATGGGGTTTCTTCGACTTGTTCTCGAGTAAAACTACTATTCTCTCTCTCTCTCTCCTTCTCCCCCTTCTCCTTATTCATTTGTATTGATTTGGTGGTTGGTATTCAGGGCGGTTTTCGGTAGAAAGAGACGGAAGAAGATGGTCGGAGGAGGTAGTAGCAGTGGTGGTGGTGGTGGTGCTGTCTCTCGTGTACCTCGTGGTAGCAGCAGTGTTAAGCAGAGAGGCTTCTCCATGAATCCAAAAGACTACAAACTTTTGGAAGAAGTGGGACATGGAGCTAGCGCCGTTGTCTATCGAGCGATCTATCTCCCGACCAATGAAGTCGTCGCTGTCAAGTGTCTGGATCTCGATCGATGCAATAGCAATCTGGTTGGTTTGGTTAATCAGTTGTTTATATCCCTTTTTGTCTTTAGATCAGATCTTTAATTTAGTTAATTTTTTTGGTTTGGTTAGGATGATATAAGGAGGGAATCTCAGACTATGAGTTTGATAGACCATCCAAATGTTATAAAGTCGTTTTGTTCGTTTTCTGTCGACCATAGTCTTTGGGTGGTGATGCCGTTTATGGCACAGGGGTCGTGTTTGCATCTTATGAAGACTGCTTATTCTGACGGGTTTGAAGAGTCTGCTATATGTTCTATACTTAAAGAGACTCTTAAGGCTCTTGATTATCTTCATAAACAAGGGCATATCCATCGGGATGTTAAGGTTGGTTATAGAAAGATTGAAACTTTATTAGTTATCGCTGGAGTCTCTTATTGTTTCTTTTTCTGTTTGCATCATACTAGGCAGGGAACATACTTCTTGATGATAATGGTGAGATTAAGCTTGGTGATTTTGGTGTCTCTGCTTGTTTGTTTGATAACGGTGATAGGCAACGTGCAAGAAACACGTTTGTTGGTACTCCTTGCTGGTCAGTTTTTGTGTTTCTTTCCTCTTTTGTACTTTACCATCACTTTGTATTCAGTCGTTTACATTTAAAACTCTTTTTTCTGTTTGTAGGATGGCACCGGAAGTGCTGCAGCCGGGAAATGGATACAATTCCAAGTAAGTTTATATTTGTAAAAGCTCAGATGCAACTAGAGTTTTAAATGTAACATAGAAAATAGTCCACTTTCGTAGCTTACTGGTTGGTGGTTCTTCTGTTATTTTCTTAACAGGGCTGATATCTGGTCATTTGGTATAACCGCGCTTGAATTGGCCCATGGTCATGCGCCCTTCTCAAAGTATCCTCCCATGAAGGTGATCATCAGTGTCTCTTAATTTCCAGTTTATGTATGTTTGCATCTATTAAAACAGTACTGATTCATTTTTTTGGTTTTTCTGGTTAATAGGTGCTCCTAATGACAATTCAAAACGCACCTCCAGGTCTTGACTACGATCGTGATAAGAAATTCTCAAAGGTACTCGTGTTCTTTCTAGGTGTATTCTCTTTAAGTTGTTCTAGCTTTGTTGGAGCTTCAGGACCTTTCTGTTTTCCGTATAAAATTTTATATTTACTAAACTAATTAGAGGACTTCAGCTGTGCTCAGTCCTTTAAAGAAATGGTTGCAATGTGTTTGGTGAAAGATCAAACAAAAAGACCAACCGCTGAGAAACTGCTGAAACACTCCTGCTTCAAAAACACTAAGCCCCCTGAGCTTGCTGTGAAAACTTTGTTTGCTGATTTGCCTCCTCTTTGGACACGTGTAAAATCTCTTCAGGTTAGCCATGCTTCTCTTTTTATGGGTGCTTCTTTGTTGAAAATCATCACGTTCTTACGTCTTTGATTGCGTTTGGTGTATGACTAGGCCAAGGATGCTGCACAGCTTGCCTTAAAGAGAATGGCCACTGCTGACGAGGAAGCTATTTCAATGGTGACAAACACTTAGTTTTGACATTATTACCTAAAATACATTACGAAATGCAGAGTTGGACATGATACATTTCTTTTTGTTTATGTCAGAGTGAATACCAAAGAGGAGTTAGCGCTTGGAATTTTGACGTCAAAGACTTGAAAACACAAGCATCTTTGGTAAGTTCATTTTCGAAAATTTGATCTGAGATTGCAAAGACATAACCCTTGTGGTCTTATAATCTTCTTGTTTGTGTAAATAGCTAAGTGATGACGATGATCTAGAAGAGAGCCATGAGGATGAAGAAAGATTCCATACACAGTTTCATAACATGAACGGAAAGGAAAAGGTTTCCACTACTGAAGTAGACGAACCAAAATCTGAAGAGAAATTCACTTTCATCACTACTTCTTCTTCTGTACCAAACTCAGAGCAAGAGGTGTCTGAGGCCAAGGTTAAGCCAGTAAGACGCCAAAGTCAGAGTGGACCACTTACAAGCAGGGCCTTTATAAGCCAAAGCCACTCATCTTCAGAGAAAGGTCAAATCATTGAAAGGTTAGACATTTACTTTTTAAGATCTGCTTTGTCCTTTTATGTAGAGAAACTTTTAAACAATCCAACTTTTTAAAACAATGCTAGATCCGACAGTGAACACCAGGCAGCCCCATCTGTTAAAAGAGCTCCTAGCTTTAGTGGTCCTTTGAATCTTTCAACTCGTGCTTCTTCAAACAGCTTGTCAGCTCCTATTAAATACTCAGGAGGTGAGCAAGTGACATTTTGGCTATTTTTTTGCTTCTCTTAGAGTTTGACTTAAAGAGTGTTTTGTCAAAAATTTGAATAGGATTCCGTGATTCTCTGGACGATAAGTCAAAGGCTAATCTTGTTCAGAAAGGAAGGTTCTCAGTAACATCAGGAACTCTAGACCTTGCTAAGGTGAGTATTCAATTTACTGCTTATTTGTTTTCCTATTTCTTTTACTGGTAACTAATCATATACAATCTACTCTAGGATGTTCCATTAAGTATAGTCCCTCGTCGATCTCCACAGGTTGGTTTTTCTAGTCTCTTCTTCTCTATTATTGTAGATTGGATGATTTATTCTCCTTACCTGATAATCATACAACTTAATCTCCAGTCCTCTCCTCTGAGGAAATCTGCTAGTGTCGGTAACTGGATACCTGAGCCTAAAATGGTCAGTTTTTCCAACACAAAGCCTCCTTTAAGTCATTTTATTAGTAGCTTTTTTTATCTTGTTTTTGTATCCTGCAGCCAACAGTTCAGCCTCAGACCATTAAGGAGTTTAGTAGCCAACCTGTGTCACCCTCTCTCATCATGCCTCAACTTCAACATATTTTCCAGCAAAACTCAGTGCAGCAGGTGAAAATAAGTTCAAGAACATCCACCGAGACATTAGAGTTATCTTGTCAATTTATTTAATCAGTTTTACTGTATTTCACTGCAGGAACTTCTTATGAACTTACTGAATAGTGTACAAACTGCAGAGACGACGGATGGTAAGAGAGAAAGTTTTACTATAATAGATTGTGACGTTATATTTAGTAATGGATTTTATTAAATAATGGTACGTTGATCTTTCTTATAGGCTCTCAATCTGGAAAGTTACCACCTTTGCCTCGCTCAGAGAGTAATGGAACCGTAAGTTGATTTCTCAAAGCTCTAGTTTTGTCAGAGATATTGCTTGCGGCTATTTGACTCTGTCCGTTCATTTTCTCGATTACAGGTTGAGTCTGTGCCTTCTGAGAGGGAGAGGTTGCTACTTAGCGGTATCTCTGAGCTCCGGGCTAAGTTAGTCTCCTCTTCTTAGAGCAAAACTTTTTGTTTCTTATTGAATGATTTAGTAAGTTTTTCTAAGCGCATCCCGCTGCCAAAATTTTCAGGCTGAACGAGTTAACTGAGGAACTCGATTCAGAGAAATCAAGATACAACCAAGTAAGCTAATCACATTTTTTAACTCGTTAAAATAAATGCAAAATCTACCTGATGAGCCATCACCTAATCCTTATGTTTACTAATGTATACAGCTACAGCAGAGACTGAAAGCATTCACTGGTCGCGAGCAAGTGTAAGCAGGCGGGAAAGCGAAGGGTGGAAACACTGAGCTGCACAGAATCTGTAGGAGAACAAAGTGAAGTCTCTTCTGGTTTACCACTAAAGACTGTTCAACAAAACTGAAAGCAAAAGCATAACGAGTTCTCCAGTTAGGTTCTGTGTGTGTTTCAGACAATGATGATGACGACCACGACAACAAAACTAGCAGTGTCTGATGTAAACTAACAGTTGAAGACAGCTTAAACAAATACAGAAATAAAAAGGAGAAAAAAGCTCTCCACATATTTGCTTTGAATTTTATTATCACACGTTTTGATAAACTTTTATTCTTTTTTGGTGCTTTATTATTGTTAGTAAGAGAAGGCGGAAACCACTTTTTGGATCCTTTTGTGTATTGTGTAATTTGTAAATTCAAATATGATTGACGTACTTGCCTGTACTTGCTTAGTTTCTCAGGTAAACCAGAAATAAAAAGGAACAAGTTACATTAACCAAAATCATGGATTTGTTTTACATTATGGTTTCATGATCTGTACTATTACATTCAAAAACGTTACTGAACATTTAAACTGATTGATTACAGAGAACTTTAAAAGAAACTTCTTGTTCTTCTTCTTCTTCCTCCTCCACTTCTCAAGCTTTTAGCAGAAGCTTTAGACACCAAGTAGCCCACACCTAAACACATAACCCAAATCCCCACATCAACGGCCCAACCCATCCCCTCAGCCTCAGACTCCATCTCAGCCGTCCACTCCACACTCTCCCACTCTCCCTCCCCATCCTCCGATTCACCGCCCCCGCACGTGCAAAAACAAACGCTATCCTCCCTCTCCCTCCCTTCCTCTCTCTCCTCAGGTATCTCCTCCAAACACTCAAACATCATATGCTTCCTCCTCCGCCTATGTCTCCTCGCCATCGTCGACGTCGCCACGTGTCCCTCCGCCGCTACAACAACCTCAGCGGCTCCTTCTTCCATCTCACACTCGCACTCGATCTTCCACTTGTCTCCTCCTTCCTCTTTCCTGAAGATACCTTTCACAACTCTCTCCTCGCTCATGTACACCTCGAACCGGATCCCTTCCCAGACCCGGACCCGTTCTCTACACCCGTAGATCGCCTCTCCTCCTTTGACGACTCTGTGTAGAGTCACAAACGCTGGGGAGTCGGGTCGGATCTTGGACCCGTCGAGCTCGAAAGCAGCTTCGTTGATCCGTGGAGGGTAGAGAAGAGTGAGAGAGTCGGGTGAGAAGTCTCGGGTGGGTAAACCGGTGAACCGGACGTAGAAAGCTTTGACCTTTAAGCTCTCTTTCTCAACGTAACGATCGAAATCCGTCGATCTACACATTTCTATTTCTGTTGGGTTCTTCGAAAAATCTTTCCTTTTTTGTTTCGCTGTTAACTTTGAATTTGAGAAACATACATGAGAGGTTCGGTCTTTTTAAGAGGGAAACAAAGGGTGGCAACTTGCGACTTCTGTTTTTGTTAGATTCTAGGGGTGGTGGACCGGGTGGCTAGCACGCGGTTTAGATGCTGATGTGGACATGTCGACAAAATAACTTTTGTTGTTTTTTGTTTTTGTTTTTACGGTCGATATAATGTAAACGTATGTCTTTCATCAGGGTTGCATGGTTTGGGATCGTCTAAAATATCAACAGCGAAGCAGTTTTAGCCTGAACGTGGTTTCTCTCTCTCTCTCTCGAGTTGCACAATTTGTTTGTTGCAGACAGTGGTTTTGTCTTCTATTCCACTGTCTACACTTTTGTCTTCTTCCTACCACTTCCTTTGTCGTTTGGTTCGGAGATATTTTACCAAAGCTGGAGTGAAAACTAATTTTGTCTCTTATTTAATAATCGAGAGTCCCAGCTAATTGCTTGTTAATTGTTTGATCATAGGTGATAAGATATGATCAAGCTTTCTATATCGCTTATAAACTGAACAAATCTTTTTTCTCAAAAAAAAAAAAAAAAAACTGAACAAATCTATAATACTTTTAGTCAAAGAATTACATAATACATCATACATGAACGTATATATGTTGACTTTTTGTTTCCTGTGATATGATTTTTTTTTTAAAGTTATAAAGACTAGACATGATTGAGGTCCACAGACTCAGCCGCTGGTTTTGGTCTCTTTCCGTGTTCAAATGCGAAATTGCTTCTTTTTTTAATACATGTAAAATAAAATTATTCATTTTATATAGGGTTGTCTTTAATGGGCCGGGCTTTACGATTTGGGATTTGGTTCCGTAAATGTCAAGTCGAGGATTCATCAAGTTATGTTTGTTGTTGTCTTCCATTTCGATTTGTTTCATTTTTTTAATTGCTCAGATTAAGGCCGTGAACCGACTAGATATCCCACACATGGAGCCAATGCAAACCGAACAGCCGATCTATACACAAGACGAGACAAACATCTTTTTATAGTTTAAAAAGACCATGACCACATTTTATATCCGATCACTACTTTTAGTCTGTTCTCTACGATTAAACCAACATCAATGAGGCCAAACAAACAAACAAAAAGACAGCTATGAATAATCATCTTTAAATGCATGTTGTATTTTGCTACGAAACCTAATATGTCATGAACTAATGCTTAAAGCAATTAACAACGATGATATTCAGTTTCAGTTAGATTCTTACATTTTCATTGGCGGGATACTTTTGAAACCAAGAGTTATCCAAAACTTAGTCAAAACAGGTTGGTACCTCATACGGCTTAACTCACTATCGACTTAAAACATTCGGTTCTATGATCATTATTGGTTTCATATTGTTTTCTATATCTCACACGGCACACTATACAAAGTAGATAAACCGTAGTTTCGTCTTATTCGTTAGAAAAAAGTTTGTAGGAGTTAAACACTCACTAAAGTTCGACAACCCATATAGGTTGGTATCTCACATAGTCACATATCACACTATATACCTTTAACATTGGGTTTGGTGATTTTAATTAGTTTACCAATGGTATTTTACAGTCATCTGTTTCGTTTTATTTTCTTATAGCATTTATAGGAATTAAACACCGACTAAAGTTCCGAGACATGAAGTTGATTTTTGTTTACTTAAAAGAACTCATCAGCTACTAGAAACTAGATGCATGTGACTGATGTTTTAAGCTTATTTTGGATTGATATAGTGTGATATTTTAAGCTTATTTTGGATTGATACAGTGATATTTTAAGCTTGGGTAACATGGGCATGTAAGTAAGAACGTAGTAACTTCTCACCGTATATATTTATCTGTTCCAACTAGTCAAAAGAAATAATAAAAGATAACTTTTTCAACGAACAAAAACTTAGGGTAACATGACAATGAAAGTAAAGAATATAGTACTCGTTGATAAATGCTGTCCATATAAGCGGTATGGACGCAAACGCAGAAGTTCTAGGGACAAGGATTTAGACTTTAGCAAAGGGTCTAAAATGTAATTGTCGCAGTTTGGGGTCAATGTGGGGTTGTCTGTAGGAGGATAAGTTGTGACTTTAAGAGTGAATGAGATTCTCTTTCAAATGAATGGTGTCAAGGAGTAGTATTCGTTTCGTCTCCTCTTGTCTCCATCCACCTATCTATATCCCCCACTCTACAATGTTTTTGTTTTTTCCCCCTCGATTTTCTTAGATAATAACTCGGCGAATCTAATCCCTACCAGGCCTAATAATTGACCCCTACTATGTACTGCACGCAAATTGGAGAGTCCAGATTAGAAAGCAACATGTTCGTTGAAAAGTTTAAAGTGTTTTGGTTTCAACTTTGCACCTACTATTAGATTTTAGTTCCTAAGTTTATCGTTTCTTCTTTTAGTAACGGTTTAGGTTCAACCCTCTTTTTTTTTCTCAAAGAAGGTTCAACTTTCCTTTGAAACGTGGATATTTTACTTTGTAGATCTTAAATCTGAAGTTCTCTTCGACGTTTTCATATGTAACATGATGATTTTTAGTTACCTGAATGCATACTAAAAACCGTTGAAATATATGTATCTTAATTTAACATTAGCTATGTACGTTATTATAATGGTCAAAATTTACAAAAGTAAAATTCACACTTCCAAAGGTGGGGTGGGGTCTATGGAGATAGAAGCTTAAGATGAATTTCGTAGAATAGTTGAGAAAAAGGATTGCGTAGAAAGGGAAAAAACAAGAAGAAAGTGCATTGTCTTTGTGGTGATATGTGAGCCACGCCCATTTAGAATCTCACTACTTTCATCATATTCACATCTATAACGAATATAGCATCTATGATATTTATGCATTTCCCTATTGACTATTCTGCAATTTTCAGTTTTGGATATTCATGTGAATCGTGATCATCAAGATCATTAAATTATATAATTCTCTTAAACAAATAGCAATTGTAGAATATGTTTTAAGGTTATTGAAATATGAAGTTAGCTATATTGTATAGTATATTTTTCTCTAAAGTGTAAAACATCCTCATGTTTGATAAATATTTCAGTTTTAAATAATCATCCAAATTTATTTTCATCGTTCAAGTCATGAAGGTATCGAGTTTTTACCGTTCCAAAGTTTTCTTTACAGTTTATACTAACTCTGCTTGTATATGAAACTGTTCTGCATATAAATTTACTTCTGTAAAGTAGCAAATCAGGTGAAGTCATTTCTATTTATATTTTAATCACCGAAATAAACTCATTGAGTTTAGAAACTGAGTAAGTCTTTCTTTGTTTAAGAACCAACGGTTTTTCATCTACATGATTAATTTCCTCAATCTATCTTCTTTACGTATTGGATGACTATTTGCATGACTAAACCTATGTCCAGGTCGAAAGTTTCACTAAAAAGTCAAACATACCAATAATGGTTATCTTTGAAAATTTCAAAATCAGTGGAAGTGGAAATTTTACACGTAATGATGTACGAGACATTTAATTATGATGATGTGATTGCCGAATTTGTTTTTCAAACATTTGATTTAAAAAGTTCAAATCATTACACCCACACGTTCATTTACCTGTAAATGAAAATAATCAAAGATTCTTACAAAACAAGTAAAAATATCACTAAATGTCCTTTGGAACTAGATGCCAACAACAATCTACTTGGCCACTTGACTTGTGTACCAGATCTCTCCCAACTCTTTACCCTTTTTTATTCACCCATTTTGCGTTTGCTACTTTTGCGTTTGATCACTTGATATTTTGATATATTCGTCTACGTTTGGACAATGCGCGTGTTCGACATGCGCACTTAAGAGGGTAGAGACATTTACCTTTCTTTTTATTCTATCAAACAAAACAAAGTTTCATACATATATATACACATATATTACTAAAAATTCTGGTATAAATATATGTACCAAGGATAATCCAACCCTAAAAGAAATTTCATTTGCAAAGCTCAAATCTGTTTGTTATTCTTTCTCAGTTATTTCCATGGAAGTAGAGCAGAGAAGGATCATGAAGAGAGACGAAGATGGAGAAGAAGAAGAAAACAATATTCAACCGTCACTACACGAAGAAGAACAAGAAACAGAGGAAGAGATGTCTGGGAGGACGACCGAACCGTGGACGAAGCAGGTAACGGTTAGAGGAGTGTTAGTGAGCATAGTGATCGGAGTTGTGTTCAGTGTGATAGCTCAGAAGCTAAATCTCACGACAGGGATTGTTCCAAATCTCAACAGCTCTGCAGCTTTACTAGCTTTTGTCTTCGTCCAGACATGGACCAAGATTCTCAAGAAATCAGGTTTTGTCGCCAAGCCATTCACAAGACAAGAGAACACAATGATTCAGACATCTGCTGTTGCTTGTTACGGCATTGCTGTCGGAGGTTAAGATATAATTTGTTTCCTTTTAAAACTTAGTAGTTATTGTTTCTTGGGAAACAAGCAAATATTCAATAAAGAGATATGTAAGACAGTTCTAAACACATTTTAAAATAAAGCCTTTATGAAAAACTTTTGTGTTTTTGGTTGTTTTAAGAAAAGAGAAAAGTAGAACTTAACCTTTTGCTTTTGGGGGTGTATATAGTATAAAACCAACTTGTGGAATTTTGATTAAAAAGGTTTGTTTCTTTGTGTGTGTTTAAATCTTTTCAGGTGGGTTTGCTTCATATCTTCTAGGGTTAAACCATAAGACATATGAGTTATCTGGTGCTAACATGGAAGGTAACTCTGAGAAGAGTGTGAAAGAACCAGGCCTTGGTTGGATGACTGCTTATCTCTTTGCGGTCTGTTTCATCGGTCTTTTCGTCTTAATCCCTCTCAGAAAGGTTATGATTATTGACCTCAAGCTAACATATCCTAGTGGTTTAGCTACTGCTGTGCTCATCAATGGCTTCCACACACAAGGAGATGCACAGGCCAAGTAAGCTAGTTACCTACTTTACAAGAAGTGATTAGTTCTTAAGTTTCCTAATCTTTAAAATGGAATCAATGCAGGAAACAAGTACGAGGTTTCATGAAATACTTCTCATTTAGTTTCTTGTGGGGATTTTTCCAATGGTTTTTCTCTGGCATAGAAGATTGTGGGTTTGCTCAGTTCCCAACCTTTGGCTTGAAAGCTTGGAAACAAACGTAAGCATCATCAACTATACATTAAAAACATACACTTTTTCCATTAAATTACATAAGTTTTGAAACATGAAATTGAGATATTCTTTTGCAGGTTCTACTTTGATTTCTCCATGACATTTGTAGGAGCAGGAATGATATGTTCACATTTGGTTAACATTTCTTTGCTTTTAGGAGCTATCCTCTCTTATGGCTTAATGTGGCCTCTTCTTGATAAACTCAAAGGCTCTTGGTTCCCTGATAACCTAGACGAACACAACATGAAGAGCATATACGGTTACAAAGTCTTCTTATCCGTAGCTCTAATCCTCGGCGACGGTCTCTACACTTTCGTTAAGATCCTATGTGTCACCATTATCAGTATCAACGCAAGAATGAAGAACAAACCTAACGATCTTGATGACTTGGGTGACAAGAAACAAAGAAAACTTCTAAAAGAGGATGAGAACTTCCTCAGAGACAAGATCCCTATGTGGATAGCCATCTCCGGATACCTTACCTTCGCCGCGGTCTCAACCGTTGTGGTTCCTCTGATATTCCCTCAGGTCAAATGGTATTACGTTATCGTAGCTTACATTTTCGCGCCGTCTCTTGCTTTCTGTAACGCCTATGGGGCTGGACTTACAGACATCAACATGGCTTACAACTATGGGAAGATCGGTCTCTTCGTTCTCGCCGCCGTCACCGGAAAAGAGAACGGTGTCGTGGCCGGCCTAGCCGGTTGCGGACTCATCAAGTCCGTTGTCTCGGTTTCTTGCATCTTGATGCAAGATTTCAAGACGGCTCATTACACGATGACGTCACCAAAGGCTATGTTTGTTAGCCAGATGATAGGGACGATCGTGGGATGCATCGTGACGCCGTTGAGTTTCTTCCTGTTCTACAGAGCGTTCGACGTTGGAAACCCTAACGGAGAGTTCAAGGCTCCTTACGCTTTGATATATAGAAACATGGCGATTCTTGGCGTGCAAGGCTTCTCTGCTCTGCCTCTTCACTGTCTCCAAATGTGTTATGGGTTTTTCGGGTTTGCTGTTTTGGTTAATGTAGTCAGGGATCTTACTCCGGCGAAGGTGGGGAGGTTCATGCCGCTTCCGACGGCGATGGCGGTTCCGTTTCTTGTTGGGGCTTATTTTGCGATTGACATGTGTGTTGGGACTGTGATTGTGTTTGTTTGGGAGAAGATGAATAGGAAGAAGGCAGAGGTTATGGTTCCTGCGGTTGCCTCGGGGCTGATTTGTGGAGAAGGGCTTTGGACTTTACCGGCGGCGATACTTGCACTCGCCGGAGTAAAACCACCAATATGTATGAAGTTTTTAGCTTCATAGGATCAGTCAAAAGAGAGAAGAGAGTCTTTGTGGAGTTTACTCAGTTATGAAGTTAGAAGACGTAATGGATATTGTAGTCATCCTATTCTTAGAATAATAATAAGAAGATTTGTGAACAAGAACATCTCTTCTTCTTCTTTTTTTGTCTTTTTAGGAATTACCGAACTTGATTAAAATATATTTACATGACATGGAATCGTGATTAACCAAAACAAGTTTTACAAGTTTTTTTCTTTAACAGATTTCGGCTCTGTTATCTTCTGTTGATATAATATTGGGCTGACTAAAATAGTTGTGGGCTTGGCCCAAACATTGGTGACTATTCAGATTTTTTAAGTTGCTGAATCAACAAAACTTGGGAATTTAAATGACCAATATTTAAAAGTTGTAGATTTTTTTGGTTCAAGTATGAGTTGAAATTTTTTTTGGCTTTAAATTGAAAGTTTAAAGTTTTAATGGATGTTTTCTCATATATAATGTAACACTTTTGACCTTTCTATTGTCTCTTAAGAATATCCTAATTATTTGGAAATTCATAACGAATCTAGTAAAAAACTATTTCAAACCCAAATAAATTTATTTGGATTTGAAGATGTTTAAAATAAATGTACCAATAAACTCAAAATGTTAAATGAACATTTTACCCAAAAAACACTGAAATTTTATTTTCTCCTCTCACTAAGAAATCATTAAAACTTTGTTAAATATTCATAACTTATTGACAAAATGTATTTGTCTGAATAGACCCACATATTAATTTGTATTTAAAAATTATAAGACATGCAATAAAATATGAAACAAATATATAATACGTTTAAATTTCATCTAGAACTTTAATTCAATTAAATGCCTATTCCAATAAGCATCAAATATATATTCTCTTTTAACAGAAAAATATATTTATGGGCAATTAGGTAACCAAACAAGAACCGCACGAAAGTAACAAGAGAGAGAATTAGGCAAACACATAAATGACTTGACTTACTAAACCCACCGTTCAACTACCCCAACTATAATATCTCCCTCTATTCATTTCTTTTTATTTCGTTTAAATTGACATATCCTCCAAAACCCTCACACCACAACAATATATTAATTTCCTCTTTTCACATTCGAAGAAAACATACACAATTTCCCTCGCAGCATTCTATACACTCGTTATCAAATGGCGAGCCAGGAAGTCGTCGTGGTTGGAGGGGAGAGGGAAGGAGCTGAGATCGTGTACGGTGCGGAGGAGTGTTACCAGAAGTCGGTGGAGCTTCTAGAGGAGCTAGGGTTTCCAAAAGGTGTGATGCCTTTGAAGAACCTCGTGGAGTGTGGAAGAGTTAGAGCCACGGGTTACGTGTGGATGAAGCAAAACACTCCTTACGAACATTTCTTTGAAGCCACCAACACTCGCGTTTCTTACGCTCTTGAGGTCACCGCCTATATAGACAAGTGTTGTATGAAGAAGATGACAGGTACTATATATACTACTTCAAGTAATTATACATATGGAATCATGGCTTTATTTAATTATGTTTATATGTACTTAATTGTGTGTATTATGTTATAGGCGTGAAGAGTAAGCAGATGTTTTTGTGGGTACCGATTGTGGAGATGAGTATGGAGGAGCCAAAGAGCAAGAAGATTTACTTCAAGACTCCTATGGGAATCGGCAAGTCTTTTCATGTTACCGCATTCATGGACGAGGAAGAGAAACGTAACTTTTATTTGGAGAATCCTAAAAAATAAATCATTTAATTATTATTATTGTGTTTTGGTTGCTTTTTGTTTTTATTTTAATATTTGTACTCTTGCAAGGTTGCTTTATTGCAATTGCTGAATGTTTATTTTGATAATTATAAAATGAAATAAGATTTTATATATTTGTGATGCAATGGACAATTGCAATTTTTATTTTATGAGTAGATATCGAAGGACCTCATATAATCGATGGTGAAACCCATCGTTAGTAATTCGCAAACCATATACTAACGCCTAACGGAAACAGATGTATCCATGAATAGAAAATTATGTAACGAAAATTATACCCTGTCGTAAACGTAAATCCTGGCAGAACTCTAATGATTCGCTTTCATAGAAGTCTTAAAATATTATAGTTAAATTTTAGATTCTTTGATTAAAACACTGAAAAAATGAACTCGAAATTCTTTTTCTCGTTTTTGTTGAGAAATGAAAGACTCAGTGTCCGTTATCAATGAGGAGGGGCCTTCCATATCCCTATTACGGATACATCGAGCGCCTGATTACATTAATTTACTAGGTGGACATGCCTGCAGAGCTTTAAAGGAGCAGAACAATATGGTTAGGTGGGTCTAAGACATTCATTTGTATTGGTAAATTTGCTCAACCAATCTGACCCACTCACTTCCAGTACTTCATCGCCTAATCATTCACATGTATCTGTAAATATGCCAATGAAGAAAAAAAAAACACGAAGAGTAATAAATCCTTTGAGATGAGCGACCTATAATTAAGGATCCAGTACCCTAAAAATCAACATGCGACCGATCATATATCGTAAACTCATGATTTAAAAAAAAAAAAAACTATTTGTGACAAAAAAAAAAGATATTTAGAAAACATCTTCTATTAAATATAGGGAAAACTACTCACATATATTTTTGTAGCATCCTACGGTTTAACGAGATACAATGCTATTATATGGGCATGTTTATGTGTTAGACGGTCAAACGGTCTGCAAGAGGTATAACAAAAGCACACCTCCTATTTACATGGAATATGTAAAATTACAACATTTAAGAATATGATGAATTGATTAGCATACATAAACATATGTGACAATTATTATTTGATACGACGGGTTTGTTCTCATGGCTAAGTACATAAGAATTTCCTTAATTTAACAATGATCAAGCTTAATAAATATAATTATCTAACAACACCTGCTAGATCAATTGATGATCGATAACAAGTTTTGATAGAACACACTTTCAGAAAGATGAAGTCTTCCAAATCTCTTGAAGCTCTCTGGCAAACTCATCTTGTCTCCCAACGACCATGGTGATGTGATCTTTTCTCTCAATAATTTTAACTCGTGCCCGAGGAATCCGGTATTTGACGTTGTAGCTACACTCGATGGGGATGAGCTCATCGTTTTCTCCGTGAAAGATAGTCACGTTACACTTGAGTTTATCTCGTACAACATCCAGATACGTATCAAGTTTGCTTCCTGTCCCACAGATGATGTTGTGTAGAGTGTGCCACGCTGCGTTGTGCGTGTGACACATAAAACCTTCTATTAAAAAGTTTACTGTCCTGGAATGATTTAAATTGATTATTAAAACAATAGATGATATATCAAAATGTAGTTCTTACTCATCAATAGATCAGCATATACACTAGCTACAAGCCAACATCAATAAATAGCCATATTTTCTGCATCATATATAACCTCATCATAGCTAATTTTACCTATTTAACATGGTATTTTGTATTGAATTTTAATTCTTCTTTTTTCACACAAAAAAAAATAATATTGTTTTGGACTCAAAACTCATATCTAGTTGAAGGTTGGTTGTTTTGGTAGGACGAGAGCATAATTTCTAACCATACATTTTTACTTTAGATACTTATATATTACTATCTATAGAATTAGACATGTCACTAAAGTCGGTCGATCAACCAACCTAGACATTTCAAAAGTATAATCAGTTTCAATCGTTCCATGTACACATTGTCATCAGTAACTAGGTTAGGTTGGAAGTTTTAAAATTTAGCATAGCACTAGAGTTTTGCACAGAAAAAAAACATAGCACTAGAGTCTAGGTAGGTCGATCAACCAACTCTATTTGTCTTAGGGCTCGTCTCCAATGAACGGAGATATACTGATGACAAGTCAAAACACGTGGCTTTCTATACCTGGTCATTCGATGTAACTTGTCAACCACGTGGAGTTGTACTTCATAGGGCTGGGACTTAATATCCGCTATCCGCTATCCGATCCGAGATCCGATCCGATCCGCTCCGAAAAAACGGATATCTGGGGGGTCCGGATCCGGATCCGGATAGTGATTTCACGGATCCGGCGAATCCGGATCCGAATCCGGATAGTGAAATTTTCGGTGCGGATATCCGGATCCGGATCCGGGCCCACTAAATATTTTAAAAAATATTTAAAATATAATTATATTTATATAGTATATTATATATTTTTTATTAAATATAACTAATACTTAATTTTTTTAGTAATTTCTATTATTTTAATTTAACTTTTTTCCAAAATAATATTTTTTAATAGAATAAATAAATACTAAACTTTTAATTTTTAATGTTTTTTATTAAAAATAAATCGGATCCGGATATCCGCGGGTATCCGAGTTTTAGTCCGGATATCCGGACCCCGGATATCCGGATGGCCCGGATCCGAATCCGGATAGTAATTTTACGGATCCGCCGAATCCGAATCCAGATATCTTAAAATACCTCGGATATCCGATCCGTCCCACCCCTAGTACTTCATCTAAACTTGTATATATTTACTTTTTTTTTTGGTGAGTAAGGTTAATAATCGTAAAGTGAGTAGACACTAACTAGCCAGCGACCAGAAACGGTGCCGAATTAAATTTGTAAGTAAATTTAGTTCATTAGAGGTGGTTTGGTAACTGATGAAAGCAACTAGCTTCATCAACCCTCGACTGTTTCATATCAAATGAATATGTTTGTAAACTTATAATAAAGTTGATAAACTTTAATCCAAAAAATAAAGTTTGAGTGAACCTAACTTTAAGATCACTATTTTTCGGAACATTCCAAACAAAACGATTCAAAACCACCAACATTGTTAAACGATCAATGTTATGTGCTAATTAATTAATTAAATGAAAAAAATATGATAAGAAATAAAAACCTGTTATTACGGGTCAAGAGTTTAGCAAGGAACTGCCAAAGACGGTGGTGTTTGCAGATGAGAAGACAAATGGTACGGCTAATGTGTTCGTACCAAGCAGCCATCGACGCTCCTAAAGCTATTGGCGGCCAAACCTTCCTCGGCGCCACCTTCTTCATCACGTATTGCCTCGGATTCTTCTCTCCCACCGGTACCGGATAATACGGCTGCCCACACGTAAAACACATGCACACGTGTTGTATTAGTCTTACTACACTTCTCTTATTTTCAACATATGTTTTATTTGTCAAACTAATAGTATTGCATTTTTTTACTAAATGAACTCACCGGAGCAAGGAGGGTGAGCGACTTGATTAAACCACCGTGTCTAGCCGCGAGGTCAAGCGCCAAAATGCATCCCAAAGAGTGGGCCACGATGTGGAAAGACTTCACATTGTGTTTGTGTAAGACTGATTTTTCAATCATCTCTACGTGTTCTCGCAACGTGTAGAGTGAATCAGCTGGCTTAGGGCTTTTTCCAAATCCTAGAAGATCCACCGCGAAGAGTCTGTAAGCTGAGGAGGAAGCTAACAAGCTTGGAAACACAGTTTCAGTCCAAAACGCTGATGAAGATATGAAACCATGGATGAACAACACATCTTCTTTCGCTGCCACACCTGTTTTAATGATCAGATTGTTTTAAAACGCAAGAAACTGAGTAAATAAAAACGTTTACCAATTAAACAAAGGCAAATTATGTTTTTTTGTAAGCATTGATTACTATGAATAAAGAATGTTTGTATTTTTGTTTTTTTTTTCCTTTTTCTTTTATCTATCTATAAATGAGCACAACAAACTTTTGCTAAAAAAAAACATGTGAATGCATACAGTTAAAGACACGCACACACAAGAACCTAAACCAAATAAAGATGTGAACTAGCAACCTTTTGGTATTTGAGTTTTGACAAAGAGGGAGTGATCTTTGTCGGAAGTAGAGGCCCATGATGTACAGAACCCACAATCACAATCCGACCATCGAGAGACATCGTGGCTCAAGTTCTGCGGTCTGATCTTTTCCCTGAGCATCTCAACGACCGTGAAGTTCACCGTCAACCTTGACTTTGTTATTGTTTTCCTCCGTTTGTTCTTAGTCAACGTCTTCACTTGATGATGGTGGCTACACTCGGAGTTGGATCGAGAAACCTTAACGAACCGTTTATTGAGCTCGTTAACGGAGAGGTCCGATAGAAGAGATGGACGTGTGTAAAGGGTCTCGGAGATATCCTCAAGCTCAATCTTGGAACGGCCGCTACAAGAAAACCAAAGAGAATATCACACCGACCGGTTTTAGTTACTAAAACCAAAGTAAATTCATAATTTTCTACTCCTACGACATACAATAGCTCAAGGTAACAATTTGATATGTTAATATATAGAGAAACAAAAGGCAGTTATCATGAGTCGGTTATGAAAAATAGTGAGCATTTATACGTGTAAATTCACGTAAAAGTACATAATAATGATAAGGTTTTTTTTTGGGTAAACCGGAACACTACGCGTGATGATTTAAAGTAAAAACAAGTATTATACCCTTTAACAAGAAAACATGTAATATACACAAACTGAATTAAATAAAATATATACGGAAGAAGAATCATTATTCTCTCTAAACCCAACCTATTAAAAGCTTCTTTTTTTTGTTTTGTTTTATGTAAACTAACACATTTGGACAATTCTGATATTGATACATTTTTGCTTTGATAGTAAAAAAATAACATAAAGAGACAAAGAATACCTGAGTTCTTGAAGCGGAGAAAGAGTAAGGATCTTAGAAACGCCACTATTGTGAGACAAGAGGATCTTTCCTCTAGTCGCCGTGATCGGTTCCTTGGCCGATAAACAATAACAAGGCTTCCACTCGGCTTCGAAAACATAGTCTGCTACTTTGTAGACGAGACAAAGTAATGAATCGACGATGTCAAAGAGACAGAACACGAGGAAGCTAACGGCTTCATTGAGCCATATACCTGCTACGGTCGCTGCTCTTCTTGTCATCATCACAGCCATGGCTCAACAAAGCTTAGAGAGTTAAAAAAAAACTTTTAAGATTAATACACAGCTCTTCTTTAAGTATCTGAGAGTTTAAGAAAAGAGATCCATGAATGAAGCCGACTTGTGGTGTATAGTTGTGTAGTGTATTTATATAATATAAATAAGCTTCTTTCTATTGCTCTTTCTATTTGAGAGTTGAGAAGAGGAGTGTATGGAGAGACACAAATCTAAGGGTTGTGTGAATGTATATAGTTTATAGAATATAGACTATATATGATACGTGTTAATATATGATGTCATAACGTGAGATAATTAATATTCAAGACACTCGAAAACGACTGTTTAGGGGTCACGGATCCACCGGTTTAACTGGTCCGGTATTTAAAACACTAGCTAAACAGTATGTGGAGGTGATTACATTTTGGACATCTTTATATGGGTTTGTCGAAAATTCTATGTATACTGATAGGAAGATGGTGACTTTAGTCCAATTAACTTTTCTTTTACGTATAAAGAGAAATGGAACATAAAAACAAAACGAAACTTTCTCAAAAGAAAAAAACAACAAAATACAAAAGATACCATTGTCAATGCGTGCAAGACTATATATGTGTGTTAATTAGTGAATAAAGTTGGGAGTGACTAACTGGAGATTCCTTATATTTAATAATTTCTATGCATAGACAAGTCATGGCTTACAAATTTGCTTCAGTGAAATTTTATAAGCAATTTCTTGAATGTGGAAAATTCATTAGGTGAACAGAATACTTTGTACGAAAAAGACTTAGAAATTGAGAAAACAGCAAGATAAAAGAGCTAGGTAACCAAATAGAATTAAAATACAAAATTAAAGGATGTGAAAAGGAAAATTGTGGGTTGTGTCATTAAACGTCCAAAGAAAAAGAGGTGCTTGGTGGTTGAACCATCCTGTGAAACAGCAGAACCAGTCCATGACTTGGCTTTATCATATGATCACGTAGAATCCTCATTTCACTGAGCTTTCTCTTTTACATGTTTTATTTTACGTCACACTATTTCCATTTCATTAATAATAGTTTCTTGTTCCACTAAAATTTGTTAATCCATTTTTTCTTATCTAACTACCTACAATTACAACATTTATTCTTTGTTTCATGCATGAAACGCAATAGTATCTATTTTTAGACCAACGTAGAGGTTGCAATAAACGATCACTTTTTACTTCTTTTTACAATGCCGCTTGTGGACATGATAGATTTCAACCACGTGATTCTCATAAGTAATAATAAAAAGTGAAAAAAACAATAATAAATATATATTAGCTGTTTCTACATAATAGCTATTTTCATTAATATAATTCATTTTTGTTTGAAAGTATATATAATACTACATTTATTTTCTTATAACTATACTAGATGGAAATTAACCCAAAGTAATTTTGGGCCATGCAGAAGAGCTGTATCATTGTTTTCGTTTAAGACATTCACGTTGATCAATCACAGGGCTTGAATCTGAAAGTGATAACTTGACATTTCAATCATGGTGAACTTTTTAACCACGGCCACCATTAATTCATTTAATTCACTAAAAAAATCTAATGAGAATAAGACAAGCGTAGTACTATCTGATTTTAGGTGCTCATAAATGAGAATAAAGTAGGCACAACGTACAAGTATAAGAAGTAAAAAGAAACCATGGTATCACGCTGTGTTTCTTCCTTTGTCCTAATCAGAAGACCAGACAATAACTTGGGAGAACTCTCCGAGATGCAAGTAAAAGAGAATTACACAACTGGTCAAGAAACTGAATGATTCAGAAGATAAACAAAGAGTCTAGTTTAAAATGTTACCAAACTCAAACGTTCGGATCGTCAAGTCAATGTGGATATATAGGTTCTAATCCGTACACAAGGGATATGCATGCCATATTTTTTCATGCTTCATACATTGTTCTGTTTGGTCAAATATGCATGTACTGTTAGGTAATAATGGAATCCAAAATTCATTTTTTCATCTCTCAATAAATATTGATTCGATGCATACCTACAAACACATGATTATTGACGGCGTATTTACTGAGGATTTGGAGCATATGCATGATGACGTCGTTCGTTTTATATGCTCATTGATTTCAAGGAAATAAAAGGAAACAGATGAAAACTCTGTTCTCAAACATAATGTAAAACCGTATGAATGAATAGATTTAAAAAGGCATGCATGACTTGTACTTTCTTCAATGGTGAATGTATTTCATTTTATATCAAAGTATAATCGTTTCCTTCAGTTCCGAATGCATTCCAAGTGAGTATTTTTTCTAGAAACATGAACCTTAGTAAATTTTATTGTTCAAAATAATGATATATAGAGGTGGAGCAAAGTCCGGATATCTGGTTTTTCATGCCGATGACATAAATATTGATATTACATTCAATTAGTTATGACTCCACCACGATTACATGTCACACGACTATGACGTCTCATAGTTTTGTACAGTACACTTGCAAAAAATATCTTGTCAAATAAACAAAATTCCTATTGTTTGAATAAATTTATATATTCAAGTGGTGTATTGTACACCACGTTTTTAGAATTTTCAACAAGTGAAATAGTGAATTGTACATATGATGATTGAAATTTGAAACCAAGCAATGCAAGTACTTGGAACAATGAACTCGTACAAAAAGGCCACTATATGGACTTTCTAATAGTGGGCCTTTCTTCAGTTAATTTACTATTACATGGGCCCATTTTGGGCTTTTAACATGTCTAAACGCATGGATTATTTATACCGATTACGAAATACCAACATAGACTTTTTTTTCCCTGTTTCTCAAGTTGTTGCAGGGTCGAGTTTAACTGGACAAAGTTGGTAAACTCTAGTCATTCTAACAACGATAGATGCGTCTTGAGACTGATTCCTAACGTAGGAAAGTCTTTTCTTTCCAATTCTGTTCTTGAGAGGTAAAACTCTTTATCTCTCGAGTCTATCATTGTTGCTTGTACACAAAATTTTTAGTTCTTTCTAATAAGATTTATATTCACATTTACAGAGAATAATAGGCTACAATCATACAACAGTTATTCCACAGCCTGAGAGATACCAAAATCGACACTAAACCTAATCTACATGATGCCAAGATCTGCTACAAAACAGGTTAGACATCTTCCAAACTCACTTACATTATTTTATCCCTCAGGTAGGTTCTATTCTCATTCATAAACTTACTTCCAGATTACTGAATGAATCTGCATAGAATTTGTAGTCTCGTGGCAACATAGTATGTAACATAAACCTTCATGAGGTAATATAATTGGAGTGATCCCCATAGCTTTCAAACATATGGAATTCACTTAATTTGTATTCCAAAAAAACCTCTTTTGGTAAGAAATTAAACATGCATCTTCAAGAATAACCACTAACCACCGAGAATTATCATATTTTTTCTTATAACATTTGAACATTAGTGAGTGGTCCTATGTGATTTCAATACCTTATATTAGCCTATACGACAAAGAAAATAACACTACAATTAGCCTATAGTATACAAATAGATATTTTTCTTTTTGCATACAATAATTTAGCTAAGTCAGAAAGAGTTAGAGGAGTAATAATCCAAATAATAAAGTAGTGGGGTCGAAAAGATAAAGAAAGAAAAGAAAAAGGGTGAAACATTTAGTAAAATCTAAATAAAGTGACCGAAGATGGAAAGATAAATTAGTTAGAGCATCACATCCCTTCTCTGGTCCCCCCCTATGACAAGCTCTCACGTAAACGAGAGATGTAATGGGTCCAATGACCAAAACACACATCTACAAACACCGTTACTTAACGGAGCTTGTTGCTATCCTCATCGAACGTAAATGGTATATATGATGTTGAAGAAGAAGGCAAAAGATAAAGACGTTACCTAAGGTCGAAGTAAAAGATAGGCGGTGTGTGTGAGAGTTAACGGGGTTAAGTGAAAGGAAACGACAACGTGGGATGCTAATGCCTGTGTCAGGGTGAAGAGAGAGAGAGAGGAGAGTTTAATGAAAAGTTTTGTCTGTATTGTGAAACAAGGTCGAATGTTAGAGACTAAGGAAACCAAAAAAAATAAAGAAAAAGAAAAAAGCTTTTATGGCTCATAAGGCTCTCAAATAGCTGCACCGCTCCATTCACATGTTTCTTTTTTAACCTAATTTGCCTATTTGTTTTCTCCCCATCCTCTCATCTTATAAGTGAGGGATAGAGAGACAGAGAGAGAGACAAAAGTTAAAAAAAGAGAGAGCCTTTGTGTTCTTGTAAGTATGTTTTAAGGTTTTCCTTTTTATATGTTGTGAACTTTAGGCTAAAGACTCTGTTTCTCCTCTGTTGTTGCTATCTGAAAGATAAAGCTAGTGAGGTTCCCCATTACAGAGACAAGGAGTGGGTTTTAGGAGTTTCTTTTTCTGTTTATTTGTTTTGTTGTGTGTTTGAGGTTGGTGTTTCTGAGTAAAAGTTTGAGACTTTTTTGAGTGGGATATAGTATAAATGGGAACAAGAGCAGAACGTAATAAGGAAGATTTTGTTGGTGGTGGGTTTGGATTTGGAGTTGTGGAACATTCTCATAGAGAAGCTATGATACCATCACATCATTATCCATCATATATATCACCTTCCTCTTACTGTTCCGCTGGTGTTAGCGAACCTGTGTTCTCTGCTTCAAGTAATCATGCATACACTTCTTCTCTTGGTGAGATGTACTCCCTCGGAGTCGGTTCTAACTCTGCTGCTGTTTCAGCTGCAGACCCTTTATTCACCTTGAGCTCCTCAGGTTTAAAGTTCTCTCCTTTATGACTTCTGAGCTATGTGACAATATTAAAGATATATTTATTGTGAATTTTGGTTGATAAATATCCAGGGGAGATGGGAAGAAGTATGAGTGAAAAGGAAGTTGCAGCTTTTAGTGAAGCTCAGTGGCAGGAGCTTGAGAGGCAGAGGACTATCTATAAGTACATTATGGCTTCTCTTCCTGTTCCTTCTGAGCTTCTCACACCCTTTCCCAAGCACCCTTTAAACACTAACCATCAAGATGGTAAAATCTCCCTAGCTTTACTTTATTAGCTTCTACAGGTTGTTGGCTACATGTGTTCTTGATCTCTTGTTATCATGTTTGATGCATAGGAATAAAATGTTTGGAACTTATGCTGTGTATATGAATCTGATGTGTTCTATATGGTGACAGTGGCAATGGCCAAAGGAGGTTCATTGAAGCTGGGGATTACTTCAAATGCAAGCAACAACGCTGCTGATATGGAGCCATGGAGGTGCAAGAGAACAGATGGGAAGAAATGGAGATGCTCTAGAAGCGTGGTCCCTGATCAGAAATACTGTGAAAGACACACACACAAGAGCCGTCCTCGTTCAAGAAAGCATGTGGAATCATCTTCTCAACACAATGACACTCGTACCACTAAGAACGTTACAAGCCAGTACGCTGGAGCCTATCCTCAGTTTTACGGACAACCAGTAAACCCATTCTCTTCATTTTCCACTCTTCCAACTCTTTCCTCTTCAAATGATCACAATAGGTACTTATTTGTTTGCATTCTTGTCAAAGCATTAAACTCCGTATCCCCATTTTCAAAAATTTCTTGAAAAAAGACTGAAGCTTATTGGTTTGATATGTGAAGAGAATTCAGGTTGTTTATGAAAGAAGGTGACGCCAATGCAAATATAAATCCAGTGGTTGGACCAAGCAGAGAGCTCAAAAGGGGATTTGATTATGATCTGAACTTCAGACAGAAGGAGCCATTAGTAGACCAGAGGTTTGGAGCATTGGAGGGTCTGTTGAGTCCAAACCGGCAAGAGACAAGGCGGTTTTTTGTAGAAGGGGAGCAAGATGAAGCAATGGGAAGCTCTCTGACACTATCAATGGCAGCAGGTGGAGGGATGGAGGAAGCAGAAAGGAAATGCCAGCACCACCAGTGGGTCAGTCATGAAGGACCATCATGGCTCTGTTCAACAACACCAGGTGGACCGTTAGCTGAAGCACTGTTTCTTGGTGCTTCTAACTACCAAAGTACTAGTACTACTACTAGTAGCTGCAGCAGAAGCTCAGGCTGAATAATAATAAAAAAAAAGTGAATGACTAGAGTTGTGTTGTGTTGGTTTTACAAGTCAAAAACCGGTTTAGTGAGATTAGAAATCAAAACTATGTTTTAGATTAAGAATCGTTCTCAGTGATTTGTTTGAAGAAACAGGGAAAGACGTTTTAGCTTTTGTTTGTTTTTTATTTGCAGTTGGATATTGCAGAAAAGCTTAAACTGCTACTCTTATAATAGAAAAGTGCTTGAAACATCGGTTTGCTTAAACCACTGGAAATCTATTAATTAAACCAAAGGGAGGTGTGGATAGTGAGAATTTGTAACATTTGATTTCAAGTGAGAACAACACACTGAACTAAATAAATCAGAGTCACTCCGGTTAACATAACCGGTTTGGGTGATGAAAACTCATGTCTTTGTTGGGTTGAAGATAAGAGTTTAACTAAATGAGGATCCTGATATAGGAATTACCTTATTTAATGAGTTTTCCATTCCTTAAATGTATTTAAACTATTATATTATAGTCGCAAAGCTTAAAATAAGAATGAAAATTGCAACTTATATCTTTAAAAATACTTTGCACTAATATTGGTATTCCAACAAAATCAATAAAAAAGTTAAACAAAAGCAAAATACTGTGTACCTAAACCATAGGTTATATTTTTCCATTACAAGCCTAATCTTTAGTTTATTAACTAACCTATTTGACTAATCATATTCAACGGAGAGAGAGTGTCTAAATCATTGACTACGCGAGAACCTTCTCTCTCTCTTGCTTTGCAAGAATACATGACGTCACCAATGACGTGCCCCGCCATCATCCGCATATATCCCCTTTGCATCTTCTCAACAAAAAACCCCCTCCTCTCTCTCACCTTTCCACAATCTCAGATATTCCTTGACTTCATCTCCTCTCTAGATTTCTTTAGATTCGTGTATGAGCTTAAACCGGTTCCGGTTAAGAATGGCTGAGGAAATCTCAAAGACAAAGCTCGGATCTTCCTCCTCCTCTGCTTCTGCCGCCACATCAGCTGCAACGAACGCCGCGAAATCGAGATGGAAGATCCTATGGCCCAACTCCCTCCGTTGGATCCCCACCTCCACCGACAACATCATCGCCGCCGAGAACCGTCTTCTCTCCATCCTCAAGTACTTACCTTTATGGCTTTTTATTGAGATGGGTCGGTTAAAGATTGAATCTTTACTTTTTTATGTATCTTTACAGGACGGGTTATGTACAAGAGCAAGTGAGTATTGGTTCAGGGCCGCCTGGTTCTAAAGTCAGGTGGTTTAGGTCTTCTAGCGATGAGTCTAGGTTCATCAACACTGTTACGTTTGATGCTAAGGAAGGTTCTCCTACGCTTGTGATGGTTCATGGTTATGGTGCTTCTCAAGGTTTCTTCTTTCGTAATTTTGATGCTCTTGCTAGCCGGTTTAGGGTCATTGCTATTGATCAACTTGGGTGAGTAGGCAGAGTTTGTTGGAATGTATATTGGTCTGTTATTGAATTCAGGATGTTCATTTGTAATGAGGTACTTCTCTTTTTTTTTTTTTTTTTTTAATAGGTGGGGTGGATCAAGTAGACCTGATTTTACTTGTAAAAGCACTGAAGGTATTCTTATTCCCTTTACGGTTAATGACTTAGTGGCTATAGTTTCATTTGGAACTCTTTCTTAAAGGAGGTTTTATACCAGTAATGGAACTGAAATGTTTTCATTCTTTGAATATGCAGAAACAGAGGCATGGTTTATTGACTCATTTGAGGAGTGGCGTAAAGCCAAGAATCTTAGCAACTTTATTCTGTTAGGGCATTCTTTTGGAGGTTATGTTGCTGCTAAGTACGCTCTTAAGGTGAATTTTGTGTTCCTTTCCTTGGTATAACTCAATAGGTGACATTTTGGATCTATGGTTTCTGATTTTTCATTGGCGGTATCTCTGGATATTTCAGCATCCTGAGCATGTTCAACACTTAGTTCTGGTGGGATCTGCTGGTTTCTCAGCGGAATCAGATGCCAAGTCGGAATGGCTCACTAAGTTTAGAGCAACGTGGAAAGGCGCGCTTTTAAATCATCTTTGGGAGTCCAATTTCACTCCTCAGAAGGTGGTTAGGTATGCTCTTACAGTATATTCATGTTCACAAGTAGTCTGATTAGATGGCTATTTTTATGGCTTTGGAACCATTCGATGAGCTTGTTTTGAAACACTTGTTCGGTGATGAAGTTAGTTGACAGGACCTCTGGAATTCACTATATCATATGTTTCCAAATATGCTTTTTGGTGCAGAGGATTAGGTCCTTGGGGTCCGGGCCTTGTAAACCGGTATACAAGTGCACGATTTGGTGCACATTCGGTGGGAACTGTGCTAACAGAGGAGGAATCCAGATTGCTCACCGGTGAGTACTTCCTTCTCTTAAGTTCCACATAAGCTATGGGGAATGATGACGGATAGCTGATTAATGATGGTCTGTTTCACGTTGTAGATTATGTATATCATACTTTGGCTGCAAAGGCTAGTGGAGAGTTGTGCTTGAAATACATCTTCTCCTTTGGCGCATTTGCTAGGAAGCCACTCTTACAAAGGTTTGTCCACCAGATCTGATGAAACAAAGACCAACGTTATGAGTACGCTGCAGGTTGATGGAATGTTTATGTAACTCAAATTCGATGACATATTTTGTGCAGTGCATCAGAGTGGAAAGTGCCAACAACTTTTATCTATGGAATGAATGATTGGATGAACTATCAAGGTGCAGTGGAAGCACGGAAACACATGAAGGTCCCTTGCGAAATCATTCGTGTTCCACAGGTTAATTCTTTAAACAGTTAATGCATTAGTTTTCACATTTAAAGAGGAAAGTATAGTTAAGAAGATGCTTATGTGACATTCGTTTGTTGTGTAGGGTGGCCATTTTGTGTTCATAGACAACCCAGCTGGTTTTCATTCTGCAGTGATGTATGCTTGCCGCAAGTATATATCTCAAGACTCTTCTCATCAAGAACTCCTCCCAGATGGTTTACGATTGGTTTAGTCATACTATGTTGTTCCTTTACCTTGCACACTTTATTATAAATGTACAAAAACCATATATAAAAGAGAAACAACTTTTTTTCTTTTCACGTTGGTTGTGTTTGTACTTGGGAGTTCTAGTGTGATCTCAGTATTAAAAGTATCTTTAATATAGTTTCATCTAATTTCTTACACTTTACTTATGAAACATAACAATGATTTCTATGTGCTTGAAACTTTGCCCACTGAGACTAGTCAGTGCTCATTTTTAGAAAAAAAGTTGTTATCAACAGCACGTTCATGTTAACTTTTGAATCTGTTTTCAAGATGAGGTTAACTTGTACAGCAAGGTAAGACTATAATAGCCTGTTAACTGGTAGGTTAAAATAGGTTAAAGATCGGCAACATTCTTAAATTAGTAATGTGAGACCTGGTGGTCGAAACGTTTCCAATGGCCATGCCGGCAGACAGCTCAATCAGGAAAAACAGAAGAAATTACAGATAGGTTTTTTGACACAAGACGTTTTCTCTCATTCTTGTTATTTTGGCTGACTCATTCTTTTTCCTCTCATCTCCCAACAACTTTTCTCGTTGATTTTTCTATATGAACTTTGCTCATATTAAATATTTCCTTTAGCTTTCATCCCTCACAATCAAAAACATGCCTTTCCCTCAAATCTGCAGCAGTACAATGATGATCAAAAGGTGAGCCCTGAGTCTTATACATGTCGATTGGTTCTGGTCAATGACTAGTTTGAAATGTTCAGCCTTTGTTGTTCTTTATGATCTAAAGCCTGCATTTGACAAAAAAAAAAAGAAAAAAAGTTTCTGAAGATTTGAGAAATCCTTAATGGGTTTGGTTCAGGTTTTTGTGGCGGTCCACCTATTAGAAAAAGGAGATATTACATCTTAGGGTTCCTAGTAGTCTTATAATTGTTTAATCCACAAGTTAATAAAGAAACCCTAGAAAAAAGATCATCACAATTCTCTCTTTATCTCGTCTAAAGATTCATACCTTTGCAACAGCTTTGAGTTAAAGAGAGAGATATAGAAAGAAAGAAAAAGATGTCAGCAGGAGGAGGAGGAGAAGAGAAGATATTGGTGTCGGTGAGGGTAAGACCTCTAAACGAGAAAGAGAAGACAAGAAACGATAGATGTGACTGGGAATGCATCAACAACACCACAATCATATGCAACGCTCATAACTTGTCTGATAAGCCTTCCTTCACCTTTGGTAAAACACCTCTTTAATTACTAATTACACCAACTTATTTGAGGTAACAATTACTACTAGAACATATCAATCAATTATTGTGTCACAGACAAGGTGTTTGGATTTGAATGTCCAACAAAGCAAGTGTATGATGATGGAGCCAAAGAGGTTGCACTTTGTGTCCTCTCCGGAATCAACTGTAAGAAACATAATTGAACAGTTTTGATATATATAAATACTAGATCATGTCATGATGGAGATGGTTCTTGTTATTGTTGTTGCAGCAAGCATCTTTGCTTATGGACAGACAAGTAGTGGCAAAACTTACACCATGACTGGAATAACTGGATTTGCAATCAATGATATTTTTCTTTACATTGACAAGGTTTCATACATTAACTTCTTCCAACTCTTGTTTAATTTGTTTTTCCTATCAATATTTACATTCTCTGTTGTTTCTTGTAGCATAAACAAGAAAGAAAATTCACTCTAAAATTCTCAGCAATGGAGATCTACAATGAAGCTGTGAGGGATCTACTTTGTGAAGATAATAGTAATCCACTTAGGCTTCTTGATGATCCAGAGGTATATCTTCTTTACCAAGCAATTTATTAGCTACATAGTTACTGAAAAAGTTAATGTCAACTTTGATTAGAGAGGAACGGTCGTTGAGAAACTTAAAGAGGAGACTATCACAGACAGAAACCATCTACAAGAACTCATCTCTATATGCGAGAGTAAGTATCTAACCACACTACATTAGTCCTTCTTCATTACTTGATTATATATGCTGAATCTATGGTCTTTTTTCTCAGCTCAGAGGAAGATTGGAGAGACGTCTTTGAATGAGACTAGCTCAAGATCTCATCAGATTCTCAGACTGGTACTCATATTTAACCTAACAATGATAAAGACTAAACTCACATAATGTGTCACATTAATGTTTTTCTTTCTTTCTCATGCAGACAATAGAAAGCTCAAAACGAGAGACTTCTCCAGATAGCTCAGCTATTCTTGCAGCATCAGTGTGCTTTGTTGATCTAGCAGGAAGTGAAAGAGCTTCTCAGACATTATCTGCTGGTTCAAGACTCAAAGAAGGTTGCCACATTAACCGGAGTTTACTTACTCTTGGAACTGTCATCAGAAAACTCAGGTCAGTTTTTGGCAACTAGAGTCTCTTAAGTTTCATAGTTTTACCTTTCTTGAGCTAATATGAATGTTACTACAGCAAAGGGAAACATGGACACATACCATATAGAGACTCAAAGCTAACTCGCATACTTCAGAACTCACTAGGAGGAAACGCAAGAACGGCTATCATCTGTACAATGAGCCCTGCTCGTAGCCATCTTGAACAATCAAGAAACACACTCCTCTTTGCAACTTGTGCTAAAGAGGTGACCACAAATGCTCAAGTGAACATGGTTGTGTCTGAGAAAGCTTTGGTGAAGCAACTGCAGAGGGAACTGATGAGAATGGAGAATGAGTTGAAGAATCTTGGACTTGGTTCTTCTTCTTCAACAACCCCTGATGAGTTCCATTCATTGCTCAAACAGAAAGAGGAATTGATTGTAAAGATGGAGGAGCAGATCCAGGAGCTTAAGTGGCAACGAGATGTAGCTCAATCTAGAGTAGAGAATCTGCTTAAATCAGCAGCGGAAGAGCGTTCATCTTCAAGTTCAATTGATTACAGCAGGAGAAGAAGCTATGATTCAACAGATTTTGATGAGCCTCGTGTGGTAAACAACTTGGTGAAAAGTAACTTGTACTCTCCTGATGAAGATGGTTTCTTGCTGGATGATACTACCCCTCGAATCCCGGAGAATGGGCTGAGTGAAAACTGGGAGGAGATGGCTCAAAGAACCATCCAAGAACCAGATGATGCTTGCAAAGAGGTAAGATGCATTGAAGAGAATAGTGAAAAAGTAATAGTCCAAGACACACTAGACAACATTGTTGAAAAGAAAGTGGAGTCATTATCAGATGAGAATGAATTTATGGAGTCTAAAAAGGAAGATGATGTGTCATTTTTAGAGAATATAGATGCAGAGAAGAGTTTATATGCTAAAGATGTAGCCCAAGATGAGCTAACTATCAACAACTTATCAGCAGAATCCCAAGTGACAGAGCAATCTCCTAAGAAAGAAGACATGGAACAGAACATGCCTGAGGATCAGCCATGTGTTGTAGAAAACAAACAAAACTACAAAAAAACTTCTGTGGCCAATGAGGATGAAGAAGATATGGAGTCAGAAAAGGAAAATGATAATGCATCTTTAAATGCTAAAATTGAAGCCCAAGATGAGCTAACTATATCCAAGTTGGTAGAAGAAGTGAAAGAAACAGAGCAACCTGTGGAAAAACAAGACATGGAACAGAATCTGTCTAAGGACCAGTCATGTATGGAAGACGAACAACACTATGAATCTCTTATGGCCAATGATAATGAAGCTAGAGAGGTAGAGAAGGAAGATGCAGACTCCTCTTTATCTGCTAAACTTGAAGCCAAAGATGAGCTAACTATACATAATTCAGAAGAAGCCACAGAGCAATCTGTGGAGAAACAGAGGAAATCTTTAGAGAAACAAGATAACTTGGGACAGAACTTGTGGCCTATGGTCAATGAGAATGAAGCTATGGAGTCAGAAAAGGAAGATGCTGATTCATCTTTAAAGAAAATAGATACAGAGTTGAGTTTTTCTGCTAAACCTGAATCCAAAGATGAGTTAGTTATAAACAAGTTAGAAGAAGCCAATGAGACTAAGCAATATGTAGAGAAGGAAGAAACAAAACCTAGTTTGTCTCCAGAGAAAGAAGACACACAACAGTCAGGGCAACAAGTACAAGTCCATGGAGGCTCTGATCAAGATGATGAGACTACATACGAGGCTCTTAAAAACAAGGTGAAGGAGATGCAGAAGACAATTGAATACTTTATGAGCATGCACTCAGCAGAAGAGAATCAGTCTCCATCTTTTAACACAATAAGTAACAAGACCAGTCCAGGAGATAGCTTGAAGATGAGAAGAAGCCGAAGCTGCAGAGAAAACTTCTTGTTCTCAAAGGCTGTTGCAGCTGCTGCTAGTGGACGCTTCACATTCAACACATCTAACAACGCATCCTTTGATTTAGACAACAGTGCTGTCTCCATAGATGCACAGAGCACTAAAGATTCAGACACAGAGACTAGCGGTAGTAGCTTCCATGAGTTCATGGCAGGACTTAAACAAATGGCAATGCAGCACCATTCTAGGCATGAGTCTGACATTGAAGCAGAGAAGAAGAAGCTTGAAAGCACAGATGTAGAATTTAAGAGACAGCAAAGCCAGATTATTGAGCTTTGGGGGGTTTGTAACGTACCTCTAGTTCACAGAACATACTTCTTCTTGCTCTTCAAAGGAGATCCATCAGACTTTGTGTACATGGAAGTGGAGCTGAGAAGGCTAACTTTTCTCAAGGACTCTCCAGAGATGGTGAGGAAACAAAGTGCTAAAACACTTGGACGAGAGAGAGAATGGTTGGCTAAGCAAATACCAAAGAAGTTTGGAAGGAAGGAAAGAGAAGAAGTTTACAAGAAATGGGGTGTTGAGTTGAGCTCAAAGCAGAGGAGCATGCAAGTAACACACAAAGCATGGACCAATGCTAAGGACATAGAGCATTGCAAAGAGAGTGCTTCTCTTGTGGCTACTTTGGTTGGTTTTGATGAAACAAACATGACGCCAAAGGAAATGTTTGGACTTAGCTTCTCACCTACAACAACACTCAACGTTAAATCATCTGGCTGGAGATTATCTAACTCTTTCTCTCGTATTAATCTGACCGGAGGATTATGACACCATATGATTTTTTACTTTTAAAAAGTCGTCTTTGTTGTGTGTATAAACGGTGTTAAGTGAAGGTGTGAAAGATATGTATCAGTGATATTTGTTAGACCTTATTCTTTGTCGTCAACTTATTTAATTATTGATTTATTTGTTCAGTGTCGCATTGAAATCTATATTATATAACCAGTCGAATTATACACGTTTTGTTTTTGTTTAATGTATTGTAACTAAGTTCTACATGTTTAGTTGTTTATAAGTACGTACTACACGGTTAATAGTGTACTGGTGAATGCCTGATATTTTAGGTAAAATCATGATCAGCAAAAGAAAATTTTCATATGAGGACCATTTATACATTCATCCAATATATAAACGAAAAAGGTAAAAACTAGTAACCAAAGTTTTTCCATTGAATATACTATTATCTTGCCTTTCAAATATCCATAAGATCCAAGTGAAGATGCTTTTATATAAACGATTTTCCATTATAAAAACAAGTAAAAAGGTATTCCTTCCGTTTCAAATTGATCCATATTATAGAAAATTTCTTTGTTTCAAAAAGATCAATTTTTTACATTTTCAATGCAAGTAATAATGATAAATAGTAGATTTCAAAAAAATTAATTGTTTTTACTGAATTTTGATTGGTTATTATTTATAGGAAATAGTTAAACACAAAAAACAATACACATATAATCAAAATTTAAGAGGTTTTCTTAATACATTAGAACTTCTATAAATTAATGCTCGATAAATTAATATATACTAAATATCTCTATGAAATAATATAATTTGATAGTCCCAAATTGAATTTTTGGTTTGATTAGTATATCAATAAATTAATATTTTTTAAATTAATAAAATAAATTAAAATTTTGGTGTTGTCCCTACATTATTAATTTATAGAAATTTTACTATATGTGTGATAATTCTAAAACATTTAGTTTTTTTTTGAAACGGAGTGAGTATGACTTTGGTTTTAGTATGATAAAATCTTAAATGTCCAATTATTACTGAACCATAAATCTCTCAAAAGTTTTTTCTTAAGAAAATTAAATCTCTCAAAAGTTCGTTCATTAATGTTTCATAAATGACTAATTTAAACTTAATGACAAATGTATAACTTACATATATTGCCTAAATTAGTCATTACAAAATCTAAAGACTTCCTTTCCAAGAAGGATTCAAAAGATTTATAAGATTTCAGTTTTCATGTCTATATATTTCTTGTTGATCCTAATTAGGTTAACCATAACCTAAGCTCTCGCTCCCTTGAATTTACCAACACTGAGAAAAAAAAGTTAGGAAGAACAAGTTTGTGGTGAGGTGAAGAAGAAATATGATAGGTTGGCTCATACCAATCATCATTCTGGCGGGCATGGTCATCGGGAGTTTTGTATACTTATGGTGTGGCGGCGAGAGAAAACAAGTTACTCCCCAGTCCTGAAGCTGTGTAACTTTTTAATTACAATGTTACATTTATCAACTATTATATGATGAATTCTATATATTAATAAGCAATATGATAGCATATCGATCGAAATGTAACGCTGCAATAATTTTGCCATTTAAAAAATAAAATTTTTAAAAAGGTTATGAACTTATGATGTTCTCTTTTTTTTTTGCCAAGGATGATGTTCTCTTTTTGTTTGTGTTTCATGATATGCTAATTCGGTTTCTAGATATTTAGTTGTTATAAGTTACACAGCACGATTACTACTGGTGAATGCGATATGTGATGGAAAATCATGAGTATGAACCAACAAAATAAATTTTAATTATGACGACTAAATCTACATTGATCCACTATAAAGTCAACATTTCATTTGATAAGCGAAAATGAAAAGAAAAAGGAATGAGATTTACCAAAAAGAAAAAGTAAAGAGAAAGTTACCTTTAGATACCAAATCAAATTTTTGTTCAAAGGAAAAAAAAACCCCACCAAAACCGTATTATTATTTTAAATTAAAAGATAATTTTAAATTTCTTTTAGATTTAGAACTATTTAAGGAGTGAGACTAGAATGTAGAGTAGTTTAATATTTTAAATTAATTAGTTAATATTTTTTAAAAATGTTATTTGTGTGATAAAAATTAAAAATTAAAGAAAAAACTTTATTTATGAGATTTGTCCAAAAGTAAAAGGTAAAAACAGGTAAAGAAGTAAAAAGTAAAAAAAAAAACGGAGGTGAAAAACTTGAGTTATATAAAAAAGTAAACTCTTTTTTACAGTGTAGCCTGTAGTAGATAGGAACCACCACCACCCAACCCGACACCTGACGGAAACGATTCGCCGGAGCCTCTTCATGGCGCAACTAATACGACCAATACGGCAACTCTCGCCTCATTATCACCACCATTTTCGCAACCTCCGCCACTTATTATCCAAAAAGCTTCCCCTAAACCCACCTTCTTCAACCCCTTCTCTCCTTCTCCTCCTCTCACCTTCTTTCTCCACCGCAAGATCTCCACCTCGTCGGCGAATTCGCCGTCCCGCTCCACCTGAAGCTCTCGCTCCTACAACTCTCGTCGCCGAAGACGGTGGTGAAAGCGATGAGTCTGAATCCGAGTCGTCGAGGAGTAGAAACCAGCGGAAGCGTGACGCTCGCCGCGCTGTTAAGTGGGGTATGGAGTTAGCTTCCTTCTCTAGTGATCAGATTAAGAGGGTTATGAGGTAATTCAATCAATTAATCAATTAATCATCATTGTCTGATAATTAAAAATCTCGACTTTATTGATAAAGGAATTGGCTTTTACGTTTTTGTAGAGCGGCTTCGCTTGGCGAAGAGGTTTACGATGCGTTGATGCTTGCTAAGGTAAATAAAAATTAGTACTTTTAAGTTGGGTGATCGTGTTATGGGAATAATGCACGTAAGGTGTTTGTTGTATTGTCGCAGAAACTAGGCGCTGATGTTAGAGAAGGGAAGCGTAGACATTTTAACTATATTGGTGAGAGAAGAATATTATATTTACTTCAGCGTTCAGTTCGATTTTTAGCTGATTTGTGGTGTGTTTGTTAGGGAAGTTGTTGCGTGAAGTTGAACCTGATTTGATGGATACTCTGATTAACGCTACCAATCAGGGTGATCTCAAAAGGATTCAGGCGCTGATTGATTCGGCAAAGGATGGTGCGGAAGATGCTGGAGTTGGTGATTTTGATGATTCGGAAACAGAGTCGGAAGATGAAGGAGAGGTAAGTCTAAACCACTACACTCAATATATGTATCAACTTCAGTTTTCTTATAAGAGTTACAGTGGTAGAATATAGCGGTTAAGAGTAGCTTCCATCAGGAAAATCTAAAGGGAAATAGAAGCGGATGATTCGTTATTGCTACTGATTAGTTTGTCTAAATGGATGAAAAGAACTGTGTTTGTTGTCTACATAAAAATGTTTTCAGTTTATTTGCTCTCCAAACTCGCATGATTTTTGAAATAATGTTTTTTTCAGAGCTCAGAGGAGTATATGGCTATAGCTGCGAGATGGTTTGATGGCCTGGTCAGTCAAAATGTGGAACTCACAAAAGAAGTTTATTCTCTTCAGAGTGTTGATTTCGATAGACAGGTATGCGTATATGACTTGTTTACTACGTTGTATATAGGTAGGTCTTTAAGGTTTGTTTTGGTATAACGTTTGCAAAAAGCATCATAAGGTTTGGTTTGATGATGTGATATTTAGCTTCTACATCATTGATTGTTGATAGGAACTGCGTAAACTTGTTCGGAAAGTACAGTTGGTTCATGAGCAGAGGAAAGAAGCAACCCCGGAGAAGCAAAAAGAAGTAGATGCAGCATTGGTGATGGCTGAAAAGTCTCTGAATCGTTTTCTTCATTCCATGGCGAAACAAATGCAGAGTGAGGAGAGCGAGTTGTTCTTATGAGTAAAAAAAAAAACATATTTGTTGATCAATGTATACCGATTAAACCGAATCCAAACCGAAACGATCGAATTTTTTGTTCGGTTTGCTTGATTTGGTTAAACTGCCAAGACTAACTTTAGCTTATCAGTTATCATGATCTTCTTTTCTCCTTTTTGTACTTTTTTTGTTTTCTTTCTTTTTACAGCACACGTTTTTGCGTTTCTTGTCATCTATCCATCAATGTTATCCTAATAGGACACATCATTTGTCATCAAAAACCAAAATTAAGATAAACTGTATCTTATTTTATCGATATGTTCTTCCACTGAGTTAGTATTTTAATGAACCAGTTGTAAACTGAAAATTTGCTATACTGCAACAACAAACTCTATACATTACAGTGACATCATACATGGTCAATATTTTTGTAGCGTCTCAAAACTTGAATTATCATCAACATTTGAGGTTACAGTTCATTAATGTGCACAATCATATAACATATAAATGTAATAGGATGCAGAATGTACACCCTGGAGCCGGAAATGATGAAAAAATTATCAAAATTACCGAAAAAGAAGAAAAATACAAGTAAAAATGAGTAAATATTGGGAAGATTTATGAATTTTTGAGGAATCAGAAGCAAAAACATCAGATAACCAAGTTGATAATGGTGACGGTGAGCTTTCTGCCAATCCACCGCCCTCTCTCCACCCATTAGCTGCAGATTTTTGGCTGTATACACATTCCAAACTTTAATGAGTATAATACTATTTGAATATATAAATAACTAAATATAAGCATACGCGTTTGATAATGGTAGGCCTATTGTATGTTCTAATAACTTTTTTTTTCATTTTTCCTTTCTTTGATGGAATGACTATTATAAACTCCTTTATTACGTGTAAAAAAAAGAAAGAAAGAATCAACCTCTTTTTCATAAATGGCTCAAACCAATCACATTACTCTGCTAGCTAAGCTCGTCGTGTGCATGATAAAAAAGCAAGTAAACAAAAAAAAAACAAATAATAATAAAAAAGTTAAACCTACCTAGGCAAGGAAGGGCAAAGAGTGATGGTATAATCAGCAGAAGTGCATGTGAACGTACTCGTAGCATCATCAAACGCGTAGCTATACGATCTAGGACAAGCTGACTTGAATATCTCCGAGTACATGGACGGTTTACACTCTGTAGGTGAAGCGTACGCGCCACTACAACAATACTCCGGACTACCAAACGCCTCGCACGCGCTTTTGCATGCTGACCCGGATCCGAACCGGAGCTCCGTTGGACATCTTTGGTTTAGATCCGCTACGCATCCTGTGGTTAAACAGTTACCTTCTGTTCCTCCGCTTGCTTCAACTACCATGGGGACGTTGTATCCGTCCACGAGGCTCACGTCGTAGAAGTCTTGTTTTCGGGTCGGGTCTTCTGGACCTGACCCGATTGTGAACTCGGCTAGTGTAGCCGGTGGTTTGGCTCCTGAGCCGTTGCATTCGACTTGGTTAGAGCCGCAGTCTCCGGTTAAGCAGGTGAATTGGGCTGTTTGAGAGTCCAAGTTGCAACCGGTTCTTGCCCAAAAGCGACCGGACCAACTAGCTGGAGCTTGAAAAGAACGTGAGCCACCGGAAGCGAGTTCGAAACCGGTGGTTCCTAAGCCGTTGCTTCCGGAGTTGGCTAAAATACCTGGCCAGACAGTGAAGCTGCATCGGTTTACTATAGTGATTGCAGCACCATTACTTCCTACGCAAGTCAAAGGTGCTATTAAATACCTTATGTATGATAAGATTGTGAATATGAATATTGCAAATCTTGATGTATATTACCGTAGAAGAAGAGGAAGGTAAAGATGTTGATGAAACAGAATGAGACAGGAGAATGAAGAAGTGTTATGATCATCACTGTGTTTTATTTTTGTTTCCTTCTTTTGAAAAGAAAAGTATTTTCGGTGGAGAAGTCAAGTTTGGAATATTGGAGATAACAAACCGAAAGAGGAAGAGAGCAAAAGAAAAAACTTAAGAGATAGAGTTTAAAGGAAGCATTTAGGGTGACATCAACGCCTCTATATATACCTTCTCTCAAGGGTCAAGATCCATGTGATCTCACAAATAAAAAAGTATGACCAAATTACTTTATGTTTAAAGCGATGCCAGGAAAAAGCAATACGTTGAAAAGATATTTTATCACGAAATTTGATTAAAGTCTTTTTCTTTGTAAATTTTATCTCTACCTTTACAGAAGATATATGTTTTAAAATTACAAAAAAAATCATAGCTTTTCAAAACTTAGTTTTGTAGAATACAAGTAAAAATACCCAAGTAGATATGCATTATAGGTGTCTAACACTACAGAAAGCTACAAGGATAACTTCGGATAAAACAGTTTGACTAAGGCTGGGCAATCGGGCTCCCAATCGGGTTTT